AAAAATAATAAATAATATAACCATAATAAAATTAAAAAAAGCGTCAAAATCCTCATCATAATTATTTTCCATTTTCCTTCAATAATTTTTTTCTTCTTCTATCAATTTCTCTAATTCAATAATTTTTTCTTCTTGATCTTTTATGATAATATCTTGATCTTTTATCTTGTGGTTAAGAGTTTCAATCTCTACATTCAATTTTCAACATCTAATTTTAAAGAAAGTAAAATACGGTCCTTATAAAATTTTTGTTTCTTCATCATCAATTGACTCAATAGCTATAATTTTTTTATAAGGAAATTTTTTCCAAATAAACTCTTGATAAAAATTGTCATATTCCAAAACTTCGATTCTTGCTTTTTATGCTAGATTTAAAGTTATTAATAAAAAATCATTTTCTTTTTGTACTTTTTTTAATCTTGAGACTAAAAAATGATCTTGTTCTCTAACCTTTCCACATTTTTCTTCATCATGTTCATAGTCTTATATATAACGCAATTTTTTTCTTAAAATTTTATTTTCATTTTGAATATCTTTTTCTTCAAGTTTTTTTAACAACATTTCATTTATATCAATCAATTCACTTTTTTCACAAAAAGCTATATTTATTATTTTCGTTTCTTCAGTAGTTAGTAATAATGTTTCTTCTCTTTCCACAAATTCTTTATTCTTTTCTTCAACAATTTAAAGTCTTTCTTCGAAATCCTTTATCTTTTGTTCTGTGATATTTTTTCCAACATGTAATTTGTGACTTTATCTTGATTACTATAATTTTCAATTGATATTGGAGCCATGAATTTTTTATCTTTTTCTCTTTCTTTAACAGCTTAAAAGTATTCATCAAAAAAGTATTGATTAGTCTCACATGACAAATCAAAAAATCTATTCATAAAATGTAGAAAATTCTCACCAAAACTCTCTCCATTATCCATATTTAAAACATCTTTATGTCTAATAATTCCTTCACTGTATTTACACCATGCCTTTTTTGTTTACAAATCCAAGCATTCTCTTTATATATAGCAGTAGTATCGTCTATAGATTGCATACATATTTTAAAATAATCATATTTTTCATCATTTTTAAGATAAATTCTATACAAATATTCGTTGCATAAAACAATATCTACAAGTAAAAAGTTCTAATCCATTTTTGTTCATGTCTTCATTTCTCCGTCGATCTTTATATGTGGAATCAGAAAAACAAAAGGGTAGATAAATTTGATTTTTTCATTTTTCCCGAGTGTATTCACGTACATTTGAGAATAACTTCCAAAAGTATTAGAGTATTTTAAACACTCACCATGCGATGTTTTTATATTATTATATAAATCAGAAGAAACTAACAAATCGTTTAACAAATCAATATATCCATGAATTAATGAAAATAAAGTAACTTGGTTTTCTAACACATATGTTTTTAAATTATTTTTTCTAACTCTTTCTTATTCCTCGTAAGCATTGTTTATTCTTTTCAAGGTTTTAGGAGGGATGGATGCCATTGATACCTTTATATACAATGTACAATCCAAAACTTAATGCAACAACACTATTGATAAGATTGAATAGTAAATTTCACAACAAATGTTTATAACAGCAACCATCCCTATAAATAAACACATTGTTATTCGCAATTTTCCTTAAAAACAAATCGTGTTCATTTTCTTCATATTAATTTAAATTGAAAAGCACCTCTTCGTTTTTTTCTTCATTAAAGCTTGGAGTATTTCTTAAGTCGTTGTACAATTGTTCATTCTTCAAAATACATCCAATAATCTGAATATATTTATGAATAGAGAAAGTCAACTTCTCATTGCAGACCATCATATCTTTTAAAAAATCTTTCGTTTTTTTCAGGTATTTTTTCCATTCAGAAAGATATGCTTGTGCTCTTTTTAAATTTTTTTTCCATATTAAGTCAATAGAGTTAAGAGAAACAGCAAAAAGAAACACACTTATATATAAAATAAAATGGGTAAAAATGAAATAGATAAAATTTATGAATTTTTAACTTAATTTAATTGTAGTAAGTGTATATATATACCTAATTTTTACCAAATAATTATAAATATGTTAGTGAATTATCTTTCAATGAATTTATTATCAACCATATAAATCATACTGAATAGAAAAAAAATAAAAAAAAATTTAAAATAGAATTTAAAAATAGAAAAAGAAAAAGCACTTTATATTATTACAAAATTATATAAAGCCTGTAGTATAAAATTTGAAATCATAAGTATATTTGTCATATGAACACATACACCATTATTAAATGAAGTTGCTATCAAGTATCATACAGAATTTTGTTGTAAAGAAAATAAAGAATTAAAGAAAAAAGTTGAAGAAGAAATTAAATTTATCGAAGAAGAAAAATAAAAAATAAAAAATAAAAAAATATGCAAGAAAGAACTTAAAGAAATTAAGAATATAAAAACCTATTTAAAACATCATGTAATTTTTTAAGAAAAGAAAACTCTTCAACAAATCAATATGTCATATAATCCCATCAGTAAACTATACAGCAAAATTGTTTTATTAATATTGTTGTCATTGCAGGTTATGTTATGATTACGAACATTATTTCAAAACACCAACTACAGCAGAGAGTATTGATTATCATGTAAGCGTTTACTGTAAAGACAAAGAAGATTTAAAAAAAAAATTGAAGAGGAAGTTAAATTAGTAAAAGAAGAAGAAGAAAAAAGGATAAAAAAGGATTGTCAAAAAGGAACTTAAAGAAATAAAAGAAAAGAAAAACACAATATTGTATGCTTTTTTATAAGAAATTTAATTTTTTGAAGAAAAATGGATGAAAATAACAGTATTGCAAATGAAAGATATAGAAAATTATTTGATAAATATTGTTTTTATTGTAAAGAATGTTGAAGATATCAAATGGAAGCGTTATATAGCGCTTCATTACCAAAAAATCCAACAAATTGTGTTTTTCATCATTTATATATTTGTTGTAAAGAAAAGGAAGAATTAAAAATTGAAGAAAAAAGAGAAAGTATAAAAAAGGGAAAAAATAAAAGTTTTTGTAAAAAAAACACACATTATTATAATTTTGCTTTTTTATAAGTAATTTCATTTATTTTTTTATATTTACAAAAATGGATAAAAATAAATTTATTTTAAAAAATGAAAGATTTCGAAAGATGTTTTATAAATATTGTTTCATTATAAAAAATGTCAAAGATCTCAAAAGCTTTTATATAACGCATCATTACCAGTATACCCATCAGATGTAATTTTTCATTATTCATATCATTGCTGTAAAGAAAAGAAATAATTACGAAAAAAATTGAAAAAGAACTTGATTTTATTCATAAAGAAATAAACTATACAGCAGTAAGTTATGTTATTAACAAAAACTCAAATTAGAATGTATTAATTTTCATTCCAAATTTTGTTATATTACAGAAAGAAAATACTGGAAAAAAAGAAACAAGAAATAAAAGAAAATAATAAAAAAATGGATGCATATTTTAAAATAAGATCAAAACTACTAGATTTATATTCATATACAAAAAGAAAAAACTTTTTACTTCAAAAAGAAATAAAAGAGGTAAATGATATGCTGACAAAATGGGAGCAAGAAAATGTTACATTGTATAAGAAATTAATGGATGAAATTAATACATTAGAAAATAAATTAAAATGATATATTACCTGATGAAATTAATATATTAGAATATAAAGATAAAAATGATAAAACTGAAAAATCAACATTAGTTTCACCTAGTGGATTATTTGGTAAATCAAATGCTAAAAAATAATTTGATTTACCTAGTAAGGAAGAAAAACAATCAGCATTTGGCAAGCTAAGGAATTATTTGTTAGATATAATGCTGAAAAAAATTTAATGAATATAATGAGGAAAAACGGCCACTACTTGGTGAACCTAGTGGATTATTTTAAAACAACTTTCTTTGATATATCTATTTAAGTTGTAAAAACATGTAATAAATTGTTTTTTCTTGTTTAAAATTGTTTTACAATTTTTTACATTTTTTTTCTTTTTTTTACCTCTTTGAATTTATTTTTTTCAATTTTTTTCAACTTTTTCCAAGTTTTTACAATAAATTTCATTTGTTTACAAATTTCTCTACATTTATTCACTTTCATATCTAATTTTTTTTGGTATGTAGATTGTCAAAACATGAAATTCTTGGACGACTACGCATAGTGTTGTGGGAATATTGTTCCCACTATAAGGAGTTTCTAACGTTCAGTTAAAAGAATTGTAATGGTGTCAAGCCATTTGGTAAAAGCGTGAAATGTACGATGCCACCATAGAAACGCGGCACATATGACAAATATTACTATATATTCCAAGTGTAGAATGTTTTGAAGTTTGTTTTTAAAACTGGTTGTTCCTCACCAAAATATTTACAATCGATTCTGATGATAAAAAGACATGGTTGATGTGCATGATATGTGGATAATATCTAATACGTAGAATCGGAGATGTTTTCAAACAAAGCTTGTGAAGTCATCGACAGGTTTATCTTTTGAGGCATTTCTCGAGAAGAGATGGATGCTGTCAACACTTCACTGACTTCAGTTTACGTGCTAAGTAGACTATATAAAATTATTGGCTTCTATGGTATGCAATAAAGAGGAATGGATATATGATATTGTTTAAAATAGAACCACGTGTTCAACATTTGAAGTTCTTAATTATTTCTTTGTTCGGTTTCCAGAGGGGTCTTCCCTATGGTATTTGGGATTCCCCCACCTTCTAACACGGCATGCATGAATGGGTGTTCCTATTCCTGAAGCAAGGTAGCTTGAATCCTGAGTAACATCTGACGAATAATCTCGACTTTATATTGTTTTCAAGTATGTCGAATCATTTATGAGTTACATGTAAAAAAAAGTTAGTTGGTTTCGCTGATATGCCCTGTTAATAAATATGGAGATGATTTCAGACAATATTGTCGTTTGTGTTTGGGGCTTCCCCCAAAATCGAACATGATTCCCCAGTGCATTTCATTTTCAAAGAAGAAGAACGGCAACTTGATGTTTTGTGCTCCAACAGTTGTTCCAGCTAATAGCAGTCAACGTAAGTGATCAATAGATTTTTAATCATTTTAATTTTAATTTGTTGTGACTTGATTTGAGCGTTATTTGAACAGCTCAAGTCCTATATACTCTTGCATATTAATCGTCTCCAAAATTTGAAATCGAATAGAATTATTGAAATGGAGTTTCATGAAATGATATTAGCGGTTTGAAAAATAATTATTTTCATCATGTTTCGAATTATTCTCACCATTTTGAACTCATGTTTATAGATAGCATTTATTCGACATATGACTATAGGCAGGCCAATAAATCACTTAGCTAGCTAACTTTATGGAACGACTTATCTGCGAAGTGATTAAACATCATTTTACGTTGGTGGTTTTCTTATTATATTTAGTGCTTTGAACATTACACGCTGTGGTTTGAACATTATATGTGGTGCATTGAGCCTTATACGCAGTGTTTTAAATCCAACAGTCAGTTTTAGAGTGCCACATCGAATAAAATTTTACCATAGAGGAAATCTCCATAATTCTATCAGTGTCAGAAAGCACTGTTTATCGTCGAATGAGATAATACGGTCTGAGTAAAATGGAATTTCGATGTTTTGTACAAACAGGGACATCTTTATAAGTATTTGGAAACTGATTTCATGACTTTTGACAGCTATTGAGAAGCTTACGTGCTAAGTATATTATATGAAATTAATGGACTTCTATGGTCTGCAATAATTAGGAAAAGGTATACAATATTGCTTAAAATAGAACCATGTGTTTAATATTAGGAAGTTTTATCATTTATTTGTTCGGTTCCAGAGGGGTTTTCCCATGGTACTTGGGATTCTCCCACCTTCAAATATAGCATGCAAAAATGGCTGTTGCTATTCCTAAAGCGAGATAGAGGCAGTATTAACAATTTGGCTTCCTTAAGAAGTAGCTTGTATGAGAATTCATGGGCTTTTATGCAATGAAATGATTATGATAAGACAGTTTGTTAGCACACATATCCCTGGAAATTTGATCATGTTGTGAGCATTTGATGATTACGTTTTCGTTGTTAATTATGTGCGTTTTGGGTTTTCCCCAAAATTGCACAGGATTCCCCTTTATCATTTCATTTTTAAAAGAGGAAGAGCAGCAACTTGATCTTTTATGCTCCAACAGTTGATCTAGTTAACAGGAGTCTACGTAAGTGATCAATAGGTTTTTAATCATTGTAATATTAATGTTAACTTGTTGGTACTTGATGTGGGCGTTATTCGCACAATTCAAGTCCTATGTACTCTTGCATCTATAACGTCTCCAAAATTTTGAAACCGAATAGAATTATTGACATCAATTAATATTCTTGTTCGTCTTAATTTTCGGTGAGTTGGGAACTGCAGCTAAATGCACTATTAACTTTGAATTTGCACGTTGTTTTGTTGTCATTTTCAGTAAAATTTGTGCGTTTAGTTGCTGAACACGAAAATTTTGATCTCCCGCAGAGAAATGATTAACATATGTCTGTCGCAGATTTCAAGTCGGAGTTTTATGAAATGATATTAGTGGTTTTAAAAAAGATTATTTTCATCATGCTTCGAAATATTCTCACCATTTTTTATCTCATGTTTCTAGATAGCATTTATTCGACATATGACCATAGGCGGCCCAATAAATCACTTAGCTAGCTAAATCTATCGAACGCCATAGCTGTCAAGTGATGATTTGAGATGCTTTTAAAGTCGTATGGCGAAGCGGGGTGGTTGGAGGAGTTACTGGGAAAAATAATATTTGAAAACAAAAGACATTTAAAATCTCTGCTGATTATTTTGCGTTTTTCCTCATGCCATTTTTTTGTAAGATCCTTCGTCATAATTTCATGTTTGCATTAATTTCACAATTTTAAAAAGTCGTCACAACTTTAGCAGAGGCTTTACCCTTTTACTTGGAGAAGCAGTATGATGGACGTAGGAAGATTAATGATTGGCGGGGGGGCTCATATTCATACATTAATGTCACAATCTATTAAAACACAATGGATTTCTAAAACACTTAACTCTGTATATCATAATTATATGAATATGAGCTTCCCCCCACAATTATCTTTCTTCCTCAGGGCCTTTTTCAAAATTTTGTAGTGGGAGTGATTGACAAAAGTGGATCTAGTGTAATACAAGTAATATAAAATTTATAGGATATTCATTCTAAACATATTGAAAATATTACTTATTCTCATTGTTGTCTTATTCCATATAACACAAACACAACAAACAACATTGACTTAAAAAGCTCTAGAATATGTTTTACAATAAAAGTTTTATTGTTATGAGGGTTGCTTACAGAACTTCTTAGTAAAATCCCTTTCCATATATGAGCTGACAGTTGTCAAATTCAGTCTTCTGTGTTTAGCGAGCATTAATTCCTGAACCGTTGATCGTAATGAGCAGTTGGAACACCGTTCCAGTGTATTAAATTCTGTCAACTAATGTCATCTCTGAAGTGGCTTTTTCTAGGTTAGAAAAAAGCATGTTGTATGTTGCTACAGTTCTTTGAACAGTTATGCTATGAGGCGATACAATAAGCTAAAAAGAATTCTGTAACTGGTGGCTTGCTCACCCTGAGCATAGAACTGAGCCGAAGACCATAATCTTGGCGGGATATTTTATCTGCAGTTTTCATTGAATCAAAATTTTCAAACACTGTATTTAGAAATTTTTCTTTGTCAGTTACATTACATGACGCTATTAAGCGAAGACATGCATCAACAAACTCAACTGCTGTGTTGGCTCCTGTTATGCTGAAGTTGTGTTTCATAACTTCATTTGGCTAATCATTGACTCGAGACTAAAACAAAAAAAGGGAAAAATTTATTTATATACGAACATATGTCTATCCTCGGAAGATGAATTTTAATAGTTAGTGCTATTTCTTAATATTCTTCGTCCAATTTTCCAACTTCAACGTTAAGTGAATTACTCCAATTTAGATAGTTCTCTGAAGATTCTACAATTTCTAGTCGAATTGTTTCTTTTGCTAACCGGAATGTTGCCACCAGCGAATGAGCTGTTTTTCTTTGAGGAAATCCATGACTTTGATCATCTTCCTCAAAACGTATTTGAAGGGAAAAAGGGCTGGTGTAGCGAATAAAACAAACGAAGACAATTTTTCGTCCTGTTATTTGGCATCAACGGACCCATCGACCTGAATTGCAAAACGACTCGGATCGCGGTAGTGCAAGTGGGTAGCTTGAAGCTGAAAACAAGAAAATCCTATTCAACCTTCGGTATGATCTAAATTTTTCTTCTGCATGAAATTAGGCTAATGGTCGTGATGGCCAAGACCAGGCTGTAGATGTGAGCAGTTGGCTGTCATTATATACATCAACAACCATGTGTGTAAGAGTCTGAAGGATATTGGAGTCATAACTATTCAATGTTCGTAACCAAGAAGGAGATGAATCTTTTTCGGTCCATTGGGTTGAAACCGTTTTCATCTTTACTGCGGCAGCGTGAGGAGTCCAATGCAAATGGTGTACGATATCTTGCAATTTCTTTTGGCCATCACAACGGACGCCATGGGCAAGATACACTTGACCGTTTGTTGCAAATCGTCTCTCCTCTTTCTCAAATTCAGCTAAAACAAGACATTTCACGAAGGTTTGAGTTCTTTGTTCATTTGCACATTGTCGTTTCTCTTTGTAAAAAGAAAGAACGTTAGGTCCTACCTTTTTCACGATAGAGCTTACAATCAACGAATATTCACGGTACATATATTCCTGGCCACTATCGGTGAACTTATGGGATGTCTTCAACCTCTCTTTTTTTTATTCTTCAAGATAATGATTTTGATTGTATTCATTCGCTAAATCTAAGTCTTTTCAACTGCTTACCAATGCTGAGGTTTCAACTCTACTGGTGTGAATTTCAATGTTGATGTTGTTTTCAATGTTGATGTTGTTTTCAATGTCCGGATTCAATTCATCATGACTGTTGTCAGAGACTCTAAAGCTGCTGTCTTTTTCTCGTTGATGTTGATCAAGTGCATGCAGCAACGTTTTTGTCATCTCTGTTGTTTTGGGGGGAAAATAAAGTAATTTTTTGCTTTTACCTGCCTCTTTTTGAAAGTTCTTTTTGTTTTCAGCTCTTCGCTTCGAAGCGTTAGGCATTCTTTTTATTATTCATGTAGGTAGACTACATTTTGCCAGTACATGTTTCTTATAGTTCGCTGCACAATACACAATCACTGGTATATATAAAGACTGGATAACCCAACCAATTCTGAGGCCAAGATAATTTTGAAGCCAACTTTTGACAGCGGCAGCCATATTGGACTATCCACTTCAAGTATATATTTTATAAAGAATTTTTATCGTATCTTAAAACATTTCTATTACAGTCTTGTCATCAGAATAATTCATTTCCCCAAGAGTACAACATATGATCCAAATTAAATGCGAGAGTAGCAGTTTGTTATATAAAAAGTATATAACGCACTGAAAAAGTGGTACTTCAATATGGCTGCCGCCTGGCTTCAAGTCAAGCACTAAGATTCGTTATCCAGTCTTTATACACATCACTAAACATAATGCGTGAAGAAAAATAGAAATTTATGTAATGTGGTGTAAAGGGATTGTAGACGACGGCTACAGTGATCCGTTTTTTTTAGTATAAAATGAAGTGTATTGCTAACATAGAATAAAAGTAATTTTTTTCACATATTTCTTAACTTTTTATTGTTTTGTAAAGGAAAAAGGCCCTGATCTTCCGAATACAGTTTTATAAATGCTTCGTGCATCTGTTCATTTTTAGATTACATTGAGAACTCTAAGTGATTTATAAAATCGAAATTTGCTGTCTCTCTTGTATAGAATAGACAGAACTTTTTTTCTGTCACATGAGTGAGGATGCCTGGAACCAAGATTCGTGACGAAGATCGTAAAAATATTGATGCAAAGTTTTTCTGCACCTATTGCCATTTCCTCCTCGTCAATCCAATGCAGAAAAAATGTGGACATCTGTTTTGTCAATCTTGTATTGATATCATTTTTGGGTATCGTAACTTGATTTTAATTTTTGTCTAAATCATTAGCAAAAAGGATGTGAATAGTTAGAAATGATTGACCCGTGTCGTGTATCAGACATTAAAATTCATTTGCCAATTTACGTAATCAAATACAGTCATACTCCAATCTCCTATTTTACAGTACGGTACTTATCTCCGTGTGGTTCATTCACCCGAGTTGTACCTTGGTCTTCACACCAATATTTCTTCATGCAATATTCAAATAAAACAATGTTAATGAGCCATCTTTGTTTCTGTGCATTGAAAATTAGAGATTAATAACAACTACACTTTGAAGTTGTGAATTTAAATTATCATTGAGATTAAGTGAATGCCCTACACCACAAATGAAGATCTTGGTTCTCTTGATAAAGACATGTTACTGTTGGCGTTGTCATATATGCTAATTAAAGAACTTAGCAAAACATTTTCATGTTTAATCTGTAGAAGTCCTGATCCAAAATGTCCTGAAGACCAAGAAAAATTGATCAAGAATGAGGTGAGTGAAAGCATCCTATAGTTTTGACAAAAGCCTAAACTATATATAACTGAAGCGTTGTGTATGGCAATTTTTGTATGTCAAAGGTAAATTCTAAATTTATGTGACCCCTTTGGTGATAGACAGGAAATCTGCTCGCTAGGTAAAAGCCAGTGGTGAATCGATTTCAAAAAAGTAGGCAAGCAGTTTGCTGAGACGACCACAAACAACCATTTTCTTCAATGCTTGTAACTTTCGAAAATTGATATTTTCACAACATCAACGTATAAGGAATATAAGGAATACGTCCACGCAGTATGGGTTAAATGTTTACATTCAATGACTACTGTTTAATTTGTCGCTTATACTAATCTGTACAATAAAGTGGAAGTTACCCTTTCCCAGCTGCAATTGCATTAGTTACGTCGATCTTAAATTCCGTGAAACTATTTAGGTTTTCCCAGATGCTTTCACAAAGCGTGAGTTAAATAGGATTAAATTACATTGTCCCTCCAAGAAGTGCCAATGGTCTGGCATCTACGAAAAATTGGAAGTGAGTTGGACTGAGAAAATTATTAAGAAAGCGTAGTTTTGTTGCTCACTAAATCTTGTTTTTTGTCAGGGTCATTATGAAGTTTGTGAGCATGCGCTCATCAGCTGTATACATAAAAAATGTAACATTCAGTTACCTCCCTCTCTTCTTTGCGAACATTTGAGGAATGATTGTGAATATCGAAACGTGAAATGTGAATATTGTGGTAAAGATGTCCCAAATGCTTCACTAAAGGTACACGGAATATTTGTGCTTAGATGATACAACTATCAAGAAATATGACGAATTTCATTTACTAAATTATCATTGCTTTGGATTTCCTTTAATGTATAGGATCACGTGGATAAAGTCTGTGAAAATGCACCAGTTCCATGTAAATATTGTAAGAAGAAGATACCAAAGAAAGATATTGAAAACCATGAAAAGACGACTTGTGATGAAGTGCCAACTGAATGTGAATTTCAAGCCATTGGATGTAACTATGACAAAGTAAGAATATTTTAACTATTTTTCAAATTAATGTGGCCAAAGATAAAATGCCACTGAAAAAATCGTCAAATTACAGCAAGACATGTAATGTTTAATTTTCATTTGAGCTTTTTTTTTAACAAAAAATTGAGATGCATGATGTTAGTGTACGAAAATTGTGGATCAGAAGTAGAATGTCCCATCATTTACATCTGGTTTATATATAAAGTACCCTTTCTCAAGACTTTGAATTGAAATGTAAACATTCGTAGTGGCAAAAACTTTTCTCTTAAAAAAAGTAATTGCAACGCATCAAGCAAATCGAGAATTGGAGTACGAAAATGAAAATGACATCATACCCCTTAAGTTAGTAGCTATATAACAGATCCATTTGTTGTCTTAATTACAGAAAAGTTTTTAATTTCTCTCACAAGTTTGATTTGAGTATGTTCATAAAATGGTACTTAAAATTTTCATCTTACATAGAAACTCTGTTACGTACTGTAGTTACTGTATTTAACTTTAAAACTCTTATAAATACTACAGACAGCAGTGTATGTGTAGCCATTAGTTTTCTCTTTCGTTCGCAGACTTTAAAACGGAAGGAGATCCGACAACATATGAACTACAATTTAATTGATCATATCAGCGCCTTGTTACGATATGTTATGGCATTTGTTACACAGTTAAGTAACTATGTACCACGTCCAGAGTTTACTACTGCTATTCAAAACATGGCTGACCAAGTTACTGCTGTTAGTACCAATCTTTCAGAAAAATTTGTGATGTTAGTAGGTAAACTTACAGGTCTTGAAAGGAGGATTGAGAGCATCGAGAGTCGTGGTGGTAACGATAGTAACCCCCTGATGTCATCAGACGTTTCCTCGATGCGTGATAGAATCTCGACTCTCGAGCGGCAATTACAAGATATTTCCTCAACTATACTACGATTTCGTGAGCGTTTAGATCAAATTGACGAATCACTGGCGAGAAACACGGTTAAGATTACGGACCTGGAGGCACAACGTGGTTCCCGTGTACTGGGATCTAATCACTCCATACACAGCTACAATGGCATATTACTGTGGAAAGTAGATAACTTCAGCAAGAAGAGACAGGACGCCATTAATGGTATCAAAACAGCCTTGTATAGTCCACCATTCTATAGTTCTCGATATGGATATAAGATGTGCGCTAAGATCTGTATGAATGGTGATGACCCTAAACAGGAAACACATTTATCCTTGTTCTTTGTTGTCATGAAAGGTAAAGACATCTTTATTTTTTTCTGCCGTAAAATTATCAAGTCGAGGATGTGTTAGCGTTATATCCAAGGTTTGATTTTGGTGTAAATATTAGGGGATTAATTTAAAGGAAGATGCGTTTAGATGTGATTCTTTCTAAATGCCTTCTAAGGACGTTTGTCTTTTCATAACATTGACTTTCAGGAAAACATGTGATCTATATCACGCATTCACAGTCTGTGTGTTTCATAGAGATATTAAACTTTGATTGCTGATGCATATACATACGTAGTGCATAGTTGGTCATTATAAGTAATTCAACATGGGGAACAGGGGGTATAAGATATATTGATTGTATTACGAAATTGTGTTTTTTGGCAGTTCATATTTGCCAATGTCTTGTTTCCAAATTTAGTCTATTAACATTTATAAACAAGAGAAAAAAACAGAGATAATTTGAGCAAATATCTCAGTAAATTTAATGCAAAGTCGTGAAGTTATCCACCAATAACAGTTTGTGTAAAATGGTCACTTGGCCAATTTCTTGCCAAAAATATTGTGCTATGTTAACATCTAGCTCAATGAACTTGAATCATTTTATTAAAATGGAACACTTTTTACTGTTTGACCTGACTACTTCATTTAAACGTTAACGTTTTGATATGCAGAGTTCAATAAAACTCCAATCAATAAAATATGAATATGAGGAAGTTTTTGTTGCTTTTGATTCCCTTATGTTCTAAAATTCAGTGACCTTATTGAATTGTAATACACAATCATTGAATTTTGCAATAAAAAAGTAATAATTTACAACTTTAGATTGCTGATTGTTGAGACATATCAGCTCTTACACAAGAGACATAATACTTCAATTACCCATTTAACTAAAAATTCATTAATTTATTACAAACTAATCGAAAAAATCTTTACAGTAAACAGACAGAACCAATGCATACTCCTCATAGAACCAATGCATACTAATCCGCGATAGATCATTCAAAAATATTAAGCGTAATTGCTATGGTTTTATCTGCACTGAGAGACGGTAGCTCTATACGACAATTTCAATAAGCTAGTCATTTTTAAATTAAGAAGGAATTTTAACCACTGTTGCATTCCAGACCACATAAGAAATGCCGTTCATTCTTTCATTTACGTGTCATGGAGGCTGTTTTAATTAAGTTAACCAATCCCATCCTCTGCCAACAAAAGGTTTATGTCTTTAATTTTACCCTGTTTTGAGCGTCATCTCCCCTTGTGGAGAAGACGTACACTCTTTCTTGGCATTATAAATATCGGTAGATTATAAATTTTTATTTAGCAGACGTTGACACCTGAGGAGTAGTCTGCCGAAATGCATCGTGTCGTTTAATTTAGAACTATTGTATTAGTGCTCATCACTTAAAACAGTTCTTTTAAGAACTATCAACTTATTATATTACTTTTAGCATTCATTATGGTGTTTGCTATCTTTAGAACTATTTTCAGATTTGTCACCACGACAAAGTCACTATCTTATTAGTCTTATTAATCTTTTTATCCATATCAAACGTGTTTTGGTCTTGTTTATGATGATGGAACTAAAGGCGATGGCCGTCTATCCATAGTTCAAGGTCTCTTGTAAAACTGTTATATGCACAAAAACTATTAAATTTTACTAGAAGAGATGTTTCAAATCATAACTAGATTTTTAACTATGCCATTGGTTGTGAATTTCTAAAGACAAAATTCTTCCCAAAGGATAGTCAGCTGTAAATTATTGTTTTCCATTTAACATTAACAAAGTTCTCTGGCACGACACCTCGGTATAAGATGTGAGAGGGCTTTTCCCTTTTAAAAATAATACGGCAATGTTTGCACGTCATGTTTACAAAGAGTGCTGATATTGCATTTTGCAGTCATTAAAAAACGAACACGTTCATGTTTATTCGTAATTAATTAAACACAAACCTATACTTTTACCTATGCTGATGAAATAAATGATCTCGAATTATAACAGTAGGCTGAATTTTTTTGGCAAACGCCAAGCAGTACGATTTTATTCATAAAACTCCCATGGGACTTGAGTTCGCTGAATTTGTTGCTGGGCTATATCGTAATTGCCTATTGATGAGAGAGCTATTTCAGTTGAGTAATTTTTTTTAAATCCCAAACTGATTTTATCCAAAGTAATATTGAACGATCATATGTTGTCATACATGTGAAGCTTTTCGATTTTTGACAAAATTGTTTGATAAGTATGTGAAAACATGCTGTGCAAATGTTTGTTGGACCTTCATTTTAAAGAGAGAATTTTTGCGATCTGCTTAAATTTGTTTACTAAATTAAAGAGCATATCAGGATAGCATCTGTTAATGTTACAATTAATCAAATTTTGGTAAGATATGAAAAATAGTCATTAAATTTATCTTTAATTTGCAATGGATCTTGTAAAGGTTTATCATTTTCATCAGGGAACGGAACGCCATCAATGCTTGTATTTTTGGAGTTTGTTTTTCGGGAGAATGTGTGCTAAAACCAAATCTTCTTTTTTCAACTAACTTTAAGCATTCATTATGATCAATATAATGGCTTGTTTAGTGCTTAATGAGAGATGAGATAATTATTTAAACGGTAGATGTATGGGACCTTGAGGAAGGACATTTACGAAGACGGAATTCTAGCAAAACGTTAATCTTAAAAATCTTATATAATTGTATATTATTTTTCCTAGGTGATTACGATGCACTACAAACATGGCCTTTCCAAAAGAAGATCACAATGATGTTAATCGATCAAGGAAATGGTGATCACATGATTGATGCTTTTCATTCAGATCCTCAAAGTTCATCATTTCAACGACCAAAGTCAGATATGAATATTGCCTCCGGATCACCTTTCTTCATGCCATTGGAGAGTTTAAAAAATCGTCAGTATATCAAAGATGATACTCTTTTTATTAAGCTAATCGTTAATTAACAGGTCAGAATTTTGTCTTCTCATATTTTATGCAAGTTTTGGGATGTCAAAATTGCCATCTATAATACCACCTATATGAAGTCTATTTGCTTGGAAAAGTTTAAAGAAGTTTTTGCGCATGCTGCAGCTGTTATTCACGGTACATGAACTACATTTATCCAACAGATATCTTATTTGTCGTGCCGTTCAGCGAACATGTTATAATTTAGAGTCTCAATAGACCTCGAGGAAAAGTACGTCTATAATTACGTAATTAGATGAAGGATAGATATTTTTTTGGTTCTCTTAAGCCCGCCGCACACTGGAAAACTTTTTGTGCGTACTTTTTATTCGAGACAAGTTGTATCGACAAAAGCGCACGCGCACAACTGGCAAAACAAAATGGCTGATTTATTGAACATCTAGACGAATTGATAAACAACAAAGAATTCTCTAACGACGAAGAAGAATTGCTACTGTTTTTGTTGTGACGACAATGCTTCACACAAACAAAGGCAGCAAATCGTGACAAATGCTAATGTTTAGCCAGTGTGCGGTGGGTCTTAGATCAAGGTTGAAGATTAAAACTTACTTGAAAAGAATTGATTTTTGTTTGAGGTATTTGGGGTGTAATAGATCGTTTAAGATGGTGCATGGATCATTTGGGATGCAATGGACGATGTTTGTTTCAGTACATTGCTGTGCTAATGGGGTGTAAAATTGCAGTATCTTGTACCTCACCGTGCTTGGTTTTACATTCATAATCAATTTCTGTACTCTGTAAGTGTAGAGAAATTGAGATATTGCAATCTATTTTTTCAGTTGTGCTTTATTTGACAATGGATCTTTCAAAATCTTACAGCACTACTTATCAAAGGTTTCCTTTTGTTCAAGTTTTCAATAAGCTATTAGCTACTGCAAGAGATCAACTGAACAGTCTTTTGTTGAAGGACTTCAGCAAAGTTATAATATACCGGAAAAATATTTTAAGCTCATTTCAGCTAACGCTTTCAAAGCTCAGTGAGATCTTTTTCATTTTGGCTCAGATTTTGGTCGTTTTGTGGTCGCAGAACAATTTTCAAAGTTTGAGAAAGTCGAGAGGTGTTTTTATCAGTGCTCACGTTAAACAATTTTTCATTGGCTAATCTTGATTTCAAACCATTGATGCGTATTGTGGTAAATAGGATAGTGATGTTTCCAAATGGAAATTGAGGATTTTTCCAAAACTACAATACATATGATAGGTTTTTATCAAATGCTGGTGTTGTTTGGTTAAACGACGTTGATAGCTACCACACGTTTCTCTTTCATTGAATGTTTTGTTCTTGCTTTCAAACACTATACTAGCTAACTATCAGGAAGAGCCTCTATCATCTCTGACATGTTAGTGGACTAGAATTGTTCGGCAGTAATTCTGTTTTTAGGTAATGATGGTTTGTGTTTTGTTTATTATGGCTGCACCGATCTGTTGCATATACTTCATATTGGTGGTATTAGGCATATATATTACATCTGTATATGTTTACATAAATTTGTTACCAAAATTTATACTTTACTTGATACAAGTTACTCTTAAACCATTATCATGAGCCAAGTTTGCAAACCCAACACTAGTGTGGACCTCATCATAACAGCCACTCAAGTAAAACTTGAAAAATTGTTTTCTTCAAAATATGCAGTTATTCCATTAGGAATTTCATTACTAAAATATTTTTTCTTTTCGTAAATGTAGTCGAAAGATTGAGAGTATATATCAAAAAATTTATCATTACAAAATATCGCCAAAATCTATGTAAGGTTTTTTGTGTGCCCTTATAAATTCCACAACCTTGCATCACTAAACAATGCATGTCGGAATTCCTTCGTTTTATAAAAATTGTAACTTGTATCATTTACTGTGGGAAAGCGACGCATCATCATTTATGTCAAATATAATTGCAATATTTAAATGGTATTTTTAATGAACCGTTTGCTAATTGTTTCTACACATTTAAAATATTTCATGAATTGCTATAAATTTACTAACATTTCTTCTTTGGTAATTTAATGCGCGGTTTTGTTAATCAAATTAAATCTGCTAATCTTTTCGTTTGCTTTCATTGTGTTGCATGACTTCACATAAATTTTTGTTGGCTATCGCTTCATAAAAATCATACCCGTGAATTTAGAGAACCGGTATTTTTTCTCAACCAGCTTTGCTATCTTTGTCAATATACCAGATTTTAAAGCAATAGATTTGTTGGGAAAAAAATTTCACTGCTTAGAAAGCAATTATCAAATTTTCTTAATATTTCAAAATATTTTCAACAATAGTGTAGGTCAATAGTAAACAGTTTCATCAACGATGTTCCTTCTAAACTGTATCATCAAGGTGCTGACTTTTCGTCAATTATAAAACTTAATTTCAGTTGTTGTAAATTAATTTTAATTTTGTTCTGAATATATTTGATGTTGTTATAGAAGTCAATTAATAAATAATAAATAATTCTGTTTTTTTTTATTTAATAAATGTTTTATTTAATAAATGTTCACTTTTTGTGTAATGGCCGAATTATAGTATAGCGTATAAACATTAAATACCACTCAGCAGAATATCTTTCATTTTCTGAACGAACAGAAACGCTGAGCCGGCGAAATGGCTGCGAGCAGTCTTATTTGTTATACAGGTCCATAAGTTGCACACCACAGAAAAGCTCAACGTATATTGCAGATCGAGTCAGCTAAACATTAATAATGGTAGCTGCATAAAGTGTAAAGTTGCAAAACTGGAAGCAAACAAAGTTGGTTTTCAAAAGGTTTGTGTTTAATTCCTTACGCATTTGCTCATTTTCCTTCTAAACGCAGCAAACTTACATTCCACTGTGAGGACTCTGTACGAGGTTATGTTGTAACCAAAATTAATTTTCAAGAACGCGCTCGCTGTTCGTACGATTCGAATTTATATCACATGGTCTCTGTGCAGATATATCACCAAACAAATCTTATCGACAGGCTGCATTGGAAAACAGAAATATTTCAAATATATTTTTTTGCTCCTCCACCGAATTCACCTCCGTATGATTAGATGCTGACACATGATTCAGGCTCTCAATGATTGAGATCATGTTACGAACAAAAACTCCAAGTTAGTCAAATACAAACCTGGTTCTACCCGTCTGCACCTCAAATCTTTCATAATATTTCAAAACTATAGACGTGTATTCAGTAACTTACATACAACAGTGCGTCAATGAAAGGTATATATTCATATATTCACCTCTGCCCTGCTGATTTCTTTTGTTTGCGATGTTAATTTCAAAAGAAGTCAGCAGGGCAGAGCTGAATGTATGAATATTTACCTCCCCCCTTCTCAACTAGTGTTCTAGTTTCTCCCTTGTCTGTAAATAAGTTATACCTGCAAAATTGTGTATTTGCAAAATTTAACTTTTTTGTAAAAAAACAGGCGAAATTAGTTCAAAAACTTTTGCAATTATTTTAACTTTGTAGTTATAACGACAGGTAGAAGTTATCTTCTACTTTATCATACTATATAAAATGAAATTCTTGGACGACTACGCATAGTGTAGTAGGAATATTTGTCTCACTGTAAGGAGTTTCTGACGTTCAGTTAAAGGAATTATAATGGTGTTTTCCGCTGAGGCTCATTAGAGACCTCTTGGGCTCAAACGCGGCACATTTGACAAATATTCTGTTATATTCTCGAGTGTTAAAGGTTTTGAAGTCTGTTTTTAAAAATGGTTGACCCTCACCAAAATATCTATAATCGAGTCTGATGACAAAAAGGCTTGGTTGATGTGCCTGATATGTGCATGATATCTAATACGAAGAATTGGAGATGTTTTCGAACAAAGCTTGTGAAGTCATCGACGGGTTTACGTTTTGAGGCATTTCTCGAGAAGAGATGGATGCTGTCAACACTTCACTGACTTCAGTTAACGTGCTAAGTAGATTATATGAAATTAGTGGCTTCTATGGTCTGCAATAACGAGGAATGGATATATGATATTGTTTATAATAGAACCATGTGTTCAACATTAGAAGTTCTTAATTATTTATTTTTCGGTTTCCAGAGGGGTTTTCCCTATGGTATTTGGGATTCCCCCACCTTCTAACACGGCATGCATGAATGGGTGTTCCTACTCCTGAAGCAAGGTAGCTTGAATCCTCAGTAACATCTGACGAATAATCTCGACTTTAAAATGTTTTCAAGTATGTCGAATCATTTATGAGTTACATGTAAAAAAAAAGTTAGTTGGTTTCGCTGATATGCCCTGTTAATAAATACGGAGATAATTTCAGACAATATTGTCGTTTGTGTTTGGGGCTTCCCCCGAAATCGAACAGGATTCCCCAGTGCATTTCATTTTGCAAAGAAGAAGAACGGCAACTTGATGTTTTGTGCTCCAACAGTTGTTCCAGCTAATAGCAGTCAACGTAAGTGATCAATAGATTTTTAATCATTTTAATTTTAATTTGTTGTGACTTGATGTGAGCGTTATTCGCACAATTCAAATCCTATGTACTCTCGCATCTATAACGTATAAGTTTGATCTCCGGAGAGACATCAAGATTGATTTGGGAGCTTTAGTAAGAGTACGACTACGACAACTAGTACAAAGTTAGACCGTGTGAGGGAATGGCACGAGGAAGTTTGTTGTCGTTGTCGCTTCGTCAAAATTTAGTTGTAGCTATGAACAACAGAACGAGCCTTTTTAGTATGGAAAACACCGACGTTTGCAAAGCAGCTTCTGCTCCATTTGTCGATAACTATTTCAAGTAATCGGTTATACTGATTTTGCGAGAACATAGGACTCTTTAGAGTGAAAAATGTTCACTATTTTAAATTTTATGTACGATATATTTATGCTATTTTATTGTTTGTTTACCGTTCACTTTGCGTACAAAATTTATGAAAGTCTTCAACGTCATATTTTCTTTTTTAATGTACATATGCGCTCAAAAAAGGTTCTAAAGTAAAGCCTGGATGCTCGAAAATAGTACTGTAAAATTATTTCTTACATAATGAAAAAATATACCTACATTCTTGGCTTAAAAAGACATCGTAGTCTCCACGACGAATTTTTAACAAAACATCGTACTCAGATTAATGACGGCTACCATTAAGTTCTATAATAGCTGGAGCGGCTATCTCAAGCGCGGCCTTAGATATCTGATGTCGCCAAAAAAATGGCGGATTTCGTCCTTTGCCGCTGAGATTTACCAAAATTGACTGCTTTTCCAAAAATTTCACAATTTCCCACTCCCTCCCGAGGAAAGAGTGAGGAAAATGTATGTGTGCATTTGGGATTCGGCAAGCAATTTTTTGATGAGAATCAAAGTAAAAACCTTAAATTCATAACAGCGAGTCAACTGTGGTTGTCAGTTATCTGCTCCTACGAGGATGCATTTATAACTATCAACGAAAGAGCTATATGTCGGCTACACATGTATGAATGCAGATGTGCGTCGTTTTCTTACCAGCGTCAAACTTGTTTGATCGATTAAACTCTTTAGTCTACACAAAAAAGTATATCATAGTTCATGTCCACGGTTCACGAGAGGAGAAGTTAGCTTATTTGTTATCATTGCTATTTTGCTACTTTTCATGCAATGGGCAATGGCTTTTTTTCGCCACAATTGTAGGATTTTTACTTGTTTTCTTTAAAAAAGTAAATATTAAATCTCTGGATATTTACGGATTTTCTGTAATTGAGTTTCATATTAAATTTCAAAAAGACTCAAGTCTGCATAGGTTTGGTAAATGAAAACAAACAATATTGTATAGAAATTATTTTAAGTAACCTTTTTGTGATGTTCTGAAGTGCAACTGCATCAAATACTTGTAAAGTTGTAGCACATTTTGATTTTGCTGTATTGATATATGAATTGGGCAAATGAAAATAATCATCAAAACACTTATGCTTCCAATGGTGTTTATAATTCAATTGTAGTTTTAATACTTCTACCCTTCTTTTTCACTTTGTTTTGTTTTTCCTATATTTGCAATATAAGTGCACAATTTGAATGATTAACACAGTTTTCACCTCAATAATAAATTTCATAAGCAGTTGATAGTGCGTTTTGTTCTCTGAGTATCCACATCTGGTGTTTTGTTCATACAAGAATGATGAAGTGCAAGTAGATATGTTATAGCAAGGCAATAAAATCAAATGAATTAAGTACCTTTAGTGTACTTTTATGCTAGAAGCTTAAAACCTTTTTAGAAATTATAAAGTTAGTGAACTATATAACCTCTATATCATCAATCTCATGAAAAGAAATAAGAAGCCAAAAATTTGTAGAGAAGCTTTGAAAAATGAAAAAACATTTCTTTAAAAAAAGCAGTAATGATGCATATGATAAATCTCCATTCTGTACTCTAATAGGTAAATAAGCTCAAACTGTTTCTTAAAACAAAAACTGTAATAATGAAGAAACATACAGTAAAGTAACTTTAAAAGTTTCATCACTGAATCTTGAATGCTTCCGTATAGTGCATTAGATATTAGTAACATTTAAACAACACTCAAATAAAATATTTTGATAAAGATATGACACGATTTAAACATTAAGTTATATAAAACCCAATGTCTTATACAGTTTGAAGCTTCACATCTGCATCGAGTCATCATCAATCTCAATACAAATGTTTACACAAACTTTATAGCCTTCCCATTTTATATGTTTGTGAATTGACATTTCATTAAGCATCAAAACACACACAAACTTCTTGCCATCATTCTTTGGTTCATGAACTTTAACTTCAAAGCATTCAAGGCATCCTTAGTGAATCCATAGTCGCCATCCATTGAATGTGACCATGATCAAATTAAATAACTCTGGATAGGGAAGAGAATAAAGCAATATCATTTCTTTAAGAATCTGCTTGGTCAATAACATCTTCTAGTCATCTTTACTCCTTGATCTTCTCTGCATGTTGTCAGCAAATAGAACATAACAAGCTCTGCTCCAAATCAGGGGTACTGTTGGGGCTTATCATTTCTTTTTGATACTTAATCACAGAGCAAAATGTGCGCAGGAACCTTTTTTGCTTTAAGGAAACTATTTTGCAAATAGATGGGTAAATTTACGATTTCATGCATTAACAAATGACAGAAAAGTAAAACATGAAAACATCAGTATATTTTGCGTTCAAGTCAGTCTTAAAAAATGCGATCTTTATATGTATTTTATGGCTTTTAAAGTGCATGTATAATTCTTTTCCATCGTTGACGGACTTACAAAACAAGCAACTATCTCACCTGTGAGAAGCGATATGTTCCTTTTGTGGAAACTACGACATTCAAAAATTGAATGATTGAAGTGTTAGCATTATAAAAGAAATTCCAAAAAAGATATCGTCACAAAATATGGAACTGACGATATCCATATTCTGTGATTCCGTGTTTGTTTTTGAAATATTCTTTATAATTTACTATAGACACCAGGAGGAGGTCAAGAATATTATTTTTCTGCAAAACGATCATTTCAGCGGGAATACGTCCGTCGGCCGCTATTTTTTTGGCGACCTCGCCCCAGTACAATTAGCTGCTCCAGTTATTTTCGAACTCAATGACGGCTACGTGTTGTTGTTGTCGCAACAATGTTTTCACGCCAAAGTGACGTAGTTCGTACTCGTAATCGTACTCGTAGTCCGTACTCGTAGTCTTTACTAAAGCTCTCTATTAACATATGTCTGTCACAGATTTCAAGTCGGAGTTTTGTGAAATGATATTGGCTGTTTGAAAAAAGATTATTTTCACCATGTTTCGAAATATTATCACCATTTTTGAATTCATGTTTACAGATAGCATTTATCCGACAAATGACCATAGGCGGCCCAATAAATCATTTAGCTACTTAAGTTTATGGAACGTCATAACAGTAAAACTTTTGGAAATAAGAAATATTTTTAGAGTGAGTGTTGTGCTACCTAAAGGCACTTCTGTAATAACTTGTCCACGAAAATGTCGACAGCCGTGTTTGGATCAGGCCATCCAAAGACGAAATATGAAACGTGAAACTTTCGAGCATGTTTGAAAACGATTTCTTCCTAAAAGTAACTTGAAGTGTATTCTTGGAAGAGCATAAATGAGCGTATATCTAGATTTGTGATTTTTCTAAGACTTTAAAATTACTAACCTCTACATTTTATTTTTTTGATTTTATTATTTACTAAAATTGAAGCTTCGTTTCCTCAGGAAAATTTAGCTTTCATATTTCTTCTTACCAAGGACTACCGTCTTGTTTTTATTTTATAAAACAATTACTTAATGTTTTCAAGTGTTTGGACATGGCCTGATCAAAACACTTGGGAATGTTGCTCCAGCTGAAAAAAAGCATCGCTATCGGCTCGTGTTTTGCGCGCATTTCTTAACTCTCGCGTATTTAGATCAAGCCATCTAAACTCGAAAATCATTTGAGTAGCGTTGTACCAAAAAAACTGAACAGTAGGGAAACTGTCACTAAAGACATTTGCGCGCATAATGAGTAAAAGCCTATTGTAGGATAGATAATTTGACTTCCAATGGTTCATGAATAAAATGGTTCATCAATAGCTTGTTCGTAAAAATGACAAAGCCAAAAAGCATTTGAAAGACATTGAGTTAAGATAGGGCGCAAGTTGTTCAAGCTTACAAAATTTCCAGGAAACTTGGCCAAAGCGTACACGAATGCTACAAGTCCAATTTGTGGATTATTTGCCTTTTCCCTCATGCCTTTTTTGTAAAATCCTTCATCAATTTTTCATGTTTGCATTAATTTCACAATTTTAAAAAGTCATCACAATTTTAGCAGGGGCTTTGTCCTTTTACTTGGAGAAGCGGTATGATGAGCATAGGAAGATTAATGATTGGTTGGTTGGAGAGCTCATATTCATATCTTCATGTCACAATCTTTTGAAACACAATGGATTTCAAAATACTTAACTCTGTATATCATGAATATATGAACATAAACTCCCCCCCCCCAATTATTGATCTTCCTCGGGGCCTTTTTTAAGACATTTTCAGGGGTGTGTGTGGGGGTTGACAAAAGGGATTTAGTGTAATACAAGTAATATAAGATGTATAGGAATATTCATACTAAACATATTGAAAATATTAATTAGTCTCATTGTTGTCTTATTCCATATAACACAAACACAACAAACAACATTGACTTAAAAAGCTCTAGAACTAACGAGCTGACAATGTTTTACAATAAAAATTTCATTGTTGTGAGGGTTGCTTAAAAAACTTCTTACTAAAATCCCTTTCCATGTACGAGTGGCAAATTCATTCTTATGTGTTTAGCGAACATTAAATTCTAAACAGCAAGCCGTGGATCGTAATGAGCACTCGGAACACCGTTCCAGTGAATTAATTATCTGTCATCTAATGTCAACTCTGAGGTGGCTGTTCGTAGGTTAGAAAAAAGCATGTTGCATGTTGAGACAGTTCTTTCAATAGTCATGCTGTGAGACGATACAATAAGCTGACAAGAATTCTGTAACTGGTGGCTTGCTAGCCCTGAGCATAGAACTGAACCGGACACCATAATCTTGGCGGGATATTTTATCTGCAGTTTTCATTGAATCAAAATTTTCAAACACTGTATTTAGAAATTTTTCTTTGTCAGTTACATTACATGACGCTAGTAAGCGAAGGCATGCATCAACAAACTCAAGTACACTGTTGGCTGCTGTTATGCTGAAGATGTGTTTCATAACTTCATTTTGCTCATCATTGATTCGAGACTAAAACACAAAAAAAGGGAAAAGTTTATTTATATCCGAATATGTGTCTATCCTCGGAAGATGAAGTTTAATAGTTAGTGCTATTTCCTAATATTCTTCGTTCAATTTTCCAACTTGAACGTTAAATAAATTATTCACATTTAGATAGTTCTCTGAAGATTCTACAATTTCTAGTCTAATTGTTTCTTTTGCTCACCGGAATGTCGCCACCGGCGAATGAGCTGTTTTTCTTTGAGGAAATCCATGACTTTGAACATCTTCTTCATCATCATCTTCATCTGAATGTAGTCTTCCAAGCTTCTCTTCTTGATTGCCTATATAGTTTTCGGTAAACGTTTAAGAATATAGCCATAGATTTACAGTAGTCAAGACAATTTACATATTTCGGCCAAAACGAGTAAGGTTTAGCTTTTAGTAGACTAAATTTCTGCAAAGCCGCATGTTTGTACCTTAAAACGTCGGAAAGGATGATGTGCTAATTCTGACATTCCTTTTTGATATACCAAAAAATGGAGCAGATGTTGATCATCAGAGCTGTAAGCCATGGCTGAAGAGTTGAGGGATGCCATGTCTTGAGAAATCCTTTTGCCTTGTCCTTCTCTTTCTTATCGTAGGCTGCTGCTGGGGAATCAACGATTTTCTTCCAATGTAGACGACAACAATCAAGATTGCTTAGGCCTGCCTCACATTGCTGTATTAAATGTTGCGCGAATCGTACATCGTGGTGTGCAGAAAATGATTTTATGTTTAAAAAAATTGCTTTAAGTTCTTTGGTTCGCTAACCAGACGAACGTTGCTGCATCAACTAATTTGGGTTTCCAAATCATTAACTATGGAGCAGATCCGATCAAGTCTTCCATGGCTTAATCGGATCTGTTGCGCGCACACTAGAAGTTAAATGCTTGATGGCCAACATATACTTCTATTTGAGCCTATAAACCTGATTTTCGACGGTATTTGCGGACTTACCATCTTGAGTTAGACCGGAATGTTCGCCTTAATATTTGTATCATTGAATCCAAGCTATTTTAATGAAGAAACTACAGCATCTAACACACCTTCTGCACCATGTTTCTCGACTTGTTTAACACACACCAAAACGTGTTTGGAGGGAAAAAGGGCTCAGGTAGCATTAAAACAAACGAAGACAAATTTTTCGTCCAGTTGTTTGGCATCAACAGACCCATCGACCCGAATCGCAAAACGACAGCAAGTTAGAAGTTTCCCTTTCAACTTTTCTCGTTCGAGGTCGCCCTCAATATGAAGCATTTCAGAGCAGTGATTAGGATCACGGTAGTGCAAGTGGGTAGCTTGAAGCTGAAAACAAGAAAATCCTATTCCACCTTCGGAAGTATTACTGTATGATCTAAATTTTTGTTCAGCCTGAAAATAGGCTAATGATGATGATGGCAAAGACCAAGCAGTAGGTGTGAGCAGTTGGCTGTCATTATAGACATCAACAGCCATGTGTGTAAGTGTCTGAATGATTATGGAATCATTAATATTCAATGTTCGTAACCAAGGGTGAGATAAATCTTTTTCGGTCCATTAGATTGAAATCATTTTCATCTTTATTGCGGCAGCGTGAAGAGCCCCATACAAATGTTCTACGATATCTTGCAATTTCTTTTGGCCATCATAACGGACGCCATGTGCAAGATACACTTGGCCGTTTGTTGCAAATTATCTCGCCTATTTCTCAAATTCAGCAAAAACAATACATTTCACGAAGGTTTGAGCTCTTTCTTCATTTGCCATTGTCGTTTCTCTTTGTAAAGAGAAAGAACGTTAGGTCCTGCCTTTTTTACGATAGAGCTTACAATAACCGAATATTCACGGTACAGATATACTTGGTCACTATCGGTGCACTCATGGGATGTCTCTAACCTCTCTTTTGTGTATTCTTCAAGATAATGATTTTGATTGTATTCATTCGCTAAATCTAAGTCTATTCCAGTCCTTACCATTGCGGAGGTTTCAACTCTTCTAGTGTGAATTTCAATGTTTATGTTGTTTTCAATGTCCGGATTTAATTCCTCATACCTGTTGTCAGAGACTCTAAAGCTTCTGTCTTTTTCTCGTTGATGTTGATCAAGTGCATGCAGCAACGTTTTTGTCATCTCTGTTGTTTTGGGGGAAAAATAAAGTAATTTTTTGCTTTTACTTGCCTCTTTTTGAAAGCCTTTTTTGTTTTCAGCTCTTCGCTTCGAAGCGTAAGGCATTCTTTTTACTATTCATGTAGGTAGACAACATTTTGCTAGTACATGTTTCTTATAGTTCGCTGCACAATACACAATCACTGGTATATATAAAGACTGGATAACCCAACCAATTCTGAGGCCAAGAAAATTTTGAAGCCAACTTTTGACAGCGGCAGCCATATTGGACTATCCACTTCAAGTATATATTTTATAATGTATTTTTATCGTATCTTAAAACATTTCTATTACAGTCTTGTCATCAGAATAATTCTTTTTTCCAAGAGTAAAACATATGATCCAAAATAAATGCGAGAGTAGCAGTTTGTTGTAGAAAAGGTATATAACGCACTGAAAAAGTGGTACTCCAATATGGCCGCCGCCTGGCTTCAAGTCAAGCACTAAGATTCGTTAGCCAGTCTTTATACAGATCAGTAAGCATTATGCGTGAAAAAAATAGAAACTTAATCCATGTGAGCGATATACTTCCTTTTATACTAATAAAACGGATCGGTGTAGCCGTCGTCTATATTCCCTTTACGCCATATTACATAAAAGTAATTTATTTCACATATTTCTTAACTTTTCATTGTTTTTTAAAGGAAAATGTCTTCTCCCAGCTATACAATTAAAAAAGGCCCTGATCTTCCGAATACAGTTTTATTGATGCTTCGTGCATCTGTTCATTTTTAGATTTTATTGAGAACTCTGAGTGATTTTTAAAATCGAAACTTATCGTCTCTCTTGTATAGAATAGACAGAACTTTTTTCTGCCACATGAGTGAGAATGCCTGGAACCAAGATTCGTGATGAAGATCGTAAAAATATTGATCCAAAGTTTTTCTGCACCTACTGCTATCTCCTCCTCGTCAATCCAATGCAGACAAAATGTGGACATTTGTTTTGTCAATCTTGTATTGATATCATTCTTGGGTATCGTAACTTGAAGTAACTTTTTGTCCAAATCACTAGCAAAAAGGCTGTGAATAGTTAGGAATGATTGCCACGTGTCGTGTATCAGACATTAAAATTAATTTGCCAATTTACGTAATCAAATACAGTAATACTCCAATCTCCTAACTTAAAGTACGGTACTTATCTCCGTGCGGTTCATTCACCCGAGTCGTACCTTGGTCTTCGCGTTAAAATTATTTCATGCAATTAGCAAATAAAACAATGTTAATGAACCATCCTTGTTTCTTTGCATTGAACATTAGAGAGCACTAACAACTACATTGAAATTGTGAATTTAAGTTTCCCCACAAAGGAAGATGTTGGTTCTCTTGATAAAGACATGTTACTGTTGGTGTTGACATATTTGCTAATTAAAGAACTTAGCACAACTTTTTCATGTTTAATCTGTAGAAGTCCTGATTCAAAATGTCCAGAAGACGAAGAAAAATTGAGCAGGAATGAGGTGGGTGAAAATATTTTAGAGTTTTGACAGAAGCTTAAACTATATATAACTGAAGCGCTGTAAATTCTAAATTTATGTGACCCTTTGGTGATAGACAGGAAATCTGCTCGCTAGGTAAACGCCAGTGGTAAATCGATTTCAAAAAAGTAGGCAAGAAGTTTGCTGAGACGACCACGAGCAACCGCTTTTTTCAATGCTTGTAACTTTCAAAAATTGATCTTTTCACAACATCAACGTATAAGGAATACGTCCACACAGTATGGGTTAAATGTTTGGATTCAATGACTACTGTTTCATCTGTTTCTTATACTAATCTGCATACTGAAGTGGAAGTTACCCTTTCCCATTTGCAAATGAATTAGTTACGTCGATCTTAAATTCCGTAAAACTATTTAGGTTTTCCCAGATGCTTTCACAAAGCGTGAGTTAAATAGGATTAAATTACATTGTCCCTCAGAGAAGTGCCAATGGTTTGGCATCTACGAAAAACTGGAAGTGAGTTGGACTGAGAAAATTATTAAGAAAGCGTAGTTTTGTTGCTTACTAAATCTTCTTTTTGTCAGGGTCATTATCAAGTTTGTGAGCATGCACTGATCAACTGTATACATAAACAATGTAACATTCAGTTACCTCGCTCTCTTCTTGGTGAACATTTGCAGAATGATTGTGAATATCGAAACGTGAAATGCGAATATTGTGGTAAAGATGTCCCACATGCTTCACTTAAGGTACACGGAATATGTGTGCTTAGATAATACAACTCTCTAGAAATATGACGAATTTCATTCACTAAATTGTCATTGCTTTGGATTTCTTTTAATGTAAAGGATCACATGAAAAAAGTCTGTGAAAATGCACCAGTAGTTTGTAAATATTGCAAGAAGAAGATACCAAGAAAGATATTGAAAACCATGAAAAAACGACTTGTGATGAAGTGCCAACTGAATGTGAATTTCAAGCTATTGGATGTAACTATGATAAAGTAAGAATATCTAAACTGTTTTTCAAATTAATGTGGCCAAAGATAAAATGCAGCTGAAAAACTCGTCAACTTACAGCGAAACATGTAATGTATAATTTTCATTTGAGCTTTGTTTTTAACAAAAAATTGAGATGCATGATGTTAGTGTACGAAAATTGTGGATCAGAAGTAGAATGTCCCATCATTTCCATCTGGTTTGTATATGAGGTACCCTTTCTCAAGACTTTGAATTGAAATGTAAACATTCGTAGTGGCAAAAACTTTTCTCTTAAAAAAAGTAATTGCATCGCATCAAGCAAACCGAGAATTGGAGTACGAAAATCAAAATGACATCATACCCCTCAAGTTAGTAGCTGTATGACAGATCCATTTGTTGTCTTAATTACACAAGAGTTTGTAATTTGTCTCACAAGTTTGACTTGAGTATGTTCATAAAATGGTACTTAAAGTTTTCATCTTACGTAGAAACTCTGTTACGTACTGTAGTTACTGCATTTAACTTTAAAACTCTTATAAATACTACAAACAACAGTGAATGTGTAGACATTAGTTTTCTCTTTCTTTGGCAGACTTTAAAACGAAAGGAGATCCGACAACATATGAACGACAATGTAATTGATCATGTGAGCCTCTTGTTACGATATGTTATGGCATTTGTTACACAGTTAAGTAACTATGTACCACGTCCAGAGTTTACTACTGCTATTCAAAACATGGCTGACCAAGTTACTGCTGTTCGTGCGAATCTTTCAGAAAAATTTGTGATGTTAGTAGGTAAACTTACAGGTCTTGAAAGGAGGATTGAGAGCATCGAGAGTCGTGGTGGTAACGATAGTAACCCCCAGTTGTCCTCAGATGTTTCCTCTATGCGTGATAGAATCTCGACTCTCGAGCGGCAATTACGAGATAATTCCTCAACTATACTACGATTTCGTGAGCGTTTAGATCAAATTGACGAATCACTCGCGAGAAACACGGTGAAGATTACGGACCTGGAGGCGCAACGTGGCTCCCGTGTAGTGGGGTCAAATCAGGCCATACACAGCTACAATGGTACGTTACTGTGGAAAATAGATAACTTCAATCGAAAGAGACAGGACGCCATTAATGGTATCAAAACAGCCTTGTACAGTCCACCATTCTACAGCTCTCAATATGGTTACAAGATGTGTGCTAAGATCTATATGAATGGTGATGGTTTTGGAAAGGGAACTCATTTATCTTTGTTCTTTGTTGTCATGAAAGGTAAAGAAATCTTCATTTTTTTCTGCCTTAAAATTAGCAGGTCATGGATGTGCTCGAGTTGTATCTAAGGACGTTTGTCTTTTCATACTATTGACTTTCAGGAAACATGTGATCTATGTCACGCATTCAGAGTCTGTGTGTTTCATAGAAATATTAAACATTGATTGCTGATGCATATACATACGTAGTGCATGGTGGGCCATTATGAGTAATTTAACACGGGGAACAGGAGGCACAAGATATATAGATTGTATTACCAAATTGTGTTTTTTGGCAATTCTTAATTGCCAATGTCTTGTTTCGAAAATTAGTCTATTAACATTTATAACAAAGAGAAACAAACTGAGATCATTTTGAGCAAATATCTCAGTAAATTTAATGAAAAATCGTGAAATCATCCACCAATAACAGTTTGTGTAAAATGGTCACTTGGTCAATTTCTGCATTTTATTGCCAAAAATATTGTGCTATGTTAACATCTAGCTCAATGAACTTGAATCATGTTGTTAAAATGGAACACTTTTTACTGGTTGACCTGACTACTTCATTTGAACGTGAACTTTTGATATGCAGAGTTCAATAAAACTCCAATCAATAAAATATGAATATGAGGAAGTTTTTGTTACTTTCAGTTCATTTATGATCTATAATTCAGTGACCTTATTGAATCTCTATTCACAATAATTTACAATTACAGTTTGCTGATTGTTGAGACATATCAGCTCGTACACAAGACACATAATATTTCAATTACCCATTTAACTGAAAGTTCATTTATTTATTTCAAACTAGTCCGAAAAATCTTTACAGTAAACAGATAGAACCAATGCATAGTCCTCATAGAACCAATGCATACTACTCCGTGATTGATCATTCCACAAATATTAAGCGTAATTGCTATGATTTTATTTGCACTGCGAAAGGGTGAGCTTTATACGAGAATTTCAATAAGCTAGTCATTTTTAAATTAAGAAGGAATTTAAACTGTTGCATTCCATTTGTGATCTGGAGTGGAGCGCCCATGACCATGAATCATATTGTCAGTTAGCGTTTTTGGATGTTCTTGTCCATAAACGCAATGGTCAATTCCTTACAAGCATTCATCACAAGGCAACTTTTACGGGTTTGTACACACGCTTTGACTCTTTTTCTTCACACAGAGAAACGATTTCTTTAGTAAAGTGTTTAATAAAGCGAACGCTTAGACTGTCATCAAAGGAGTTTATTGAGGGTGATCTCAACTCATTGAAAAAGATATTTCTCTCAAATTGATATCCGAAAAAAATGCTTGATAAACTTTTCTCATCCACAAAAAATGAGCAGAACGGGCTTTTTGGACCAGACAAGTGCCCTGTGTTTATCAAACTTCTATATATGGGTAAGGCTTCTGATAATATAGAAAGGAAAACTAAAAATATTACAGAGAATTTGTTTATTACGAGCAATGTTATCTTTATATTTTCGAGAAGAACTATTCTACCACCCACCCCAAAAGAATCTCTACCGGCACAACTTTTAAGCAATGTAATTTACGAATGTAATTATGAATGTAATTATGAATGTAATTTTCGCTATGTAGGTAGAACGTCTCTAAGGTTGGGTGATAGGATTAAACAGCACGTAACAACTTCAATCAGAAATGAAACGGTGCACTTAAGACAACAACCAAAACGTGATTGTAACAAAAGTAATTTAGTTTCATGTGACTCCGCGATAGGTAAACATCTCTTGAATAACTCTCATTGTGCTGATTCTTATTCAGACGACAATTTTTGAATCACTAAAAGATGCCGTTCATTCGTTCAGTTACGCGTCATGGAGGCTGTTTTAATTAAGTTAACCAATCCCGTCGTTCTGCCGACAAAGGATTATTTTTTTAATTTATCCCTGTTTTGAGCGTCATCTCCCCTTTTGGAGATGACGTACTCTCTTTCTTGGCATTATAAATATCGGTAGATTGTAAAATTTCATTTAGCAGACGTTGACATCTAGGGAGTGGTATGCCGAAATACATCGTGTCGTTTAATTTAGAACTATTAAATTAGTGCTCATTACTTAAAACAGTTCTATTAAGAACTATCAACTTTATATTACTTTTACCATTCACTATGGTATTTGCTATCTTTAGAACTATTTTCAGATTTGTCACCACGACAAAGTCTCTATTTTATTAGTGTTATTAATCTTTTTATCCATATCAAACGTGTTTTCGTCGTTCATGTTGATGGAACTAAAGGCGATGGCCGTCTATCCATTCTTCAAGGTCTCTTGTAAAACTGTTATATACACAAAAACTATTAAATTTTGCTAGAAGAGATGTTTCAAATCATAATTAGATTTTAACTATGCCATTGGTTGTGAATTTCTAAAGACAAAATTCTTCCCAAAGGATGATCAGCTGTAAATTGTTGTTCTCCATTTAACATTAACAAAGTTCTCTGACAAGACACCTCAGTATAAGATGTGAGAGGGCTTTTTCACCTTTAAAAATAATAAGACAAGGTTTCACGTCATGTTTCCAAAAAATTCTGATATTGCATTTTGCAGTCATTAAAAAAGGCACTTGTGCATGTTTATTCTTAATTCATTGTACACAAACTATACATTTAAATATGCTGATGAAATAAATGATCTCAAATTATAACACTCGGCTGAATTTTTTTTGAAAACGCAAGCAGTACGATTTTATTCATAAAACTCCCATGAGAGTTGAGTTCGCTGAATTTGTTGCTGGGCTATATCGTAATTGCCTATTGATGAGAGAGCTATTTCAGTTGAGTAATTGTTTTTAAGTCCCAAACTGATTTTATCCTAAGTATTAAAGTTCTCTGGCAAGACACCTTAGTATAAGATGTGAGTGGGCTTTTTCTCCTTTAAAAATAACAAGACAAGGTTTGCACGTCATGTTAACAAAAAGTGCTGATATTACATTTTGCAGTCATTAAAAAACTCACTCGTGCATGTTTATTCTTAATTAATTCTACACAAACAAATACTTTTACCTATAAAGTAAACGGTTTGAACCCAGGTGTATCATTACATGTTTGTAGATGTATATCGTCCAGGTTAGTATAGTCCTGAGAAGGACTGTTTTTGTTGTTGTTGACTGACGTTTCAACAACCTTGGCGGTTGTCATCTTCAGAGTCAAATGAGTAGTAAACGTTAGGTTAGCCGTATTTGTTACCTGGCTCCTACGTCATTGTATTGTGTGTACCGGAAATGTGTGGGTATCTTACGACCATAAGACATACGTGTCGCACATAAACCAATCACGTTATGACAAGTACTAACAAACATAAAGGACATAGAACAACCCAACGAACGACAAGGTGCAGTTTACAAAACAAACTGCTTCGACTGCCACGCCTTCTATATCAGGGAAACTTGCAGGAACTTAAACATAAGACTTACTGAAAACAAACAAGCTACAAAGAAACAAGACAAAACTAATCACATTGCCGAACATCACCAAATCACAAAGCACAACATTGACTGGGACTCGGCAAAATGCATTACTTACAGTACTGACTATAGACAACGGCTTACGTTAGAAAGTTGGTATACCAACTTGGAACAAACCCCAATGAACAGATCACAGCAATTACCGGCACCTTACAAACGACGTATTCACAATACAAACAAACGATCAACTAAAAACATTACACTTCACATTAATTCACAATGGCAATACACAATTGACATCCACACATTACAACTAATAACATCACACTTAAATCACACATCACAACTAAGAACATTACACTTCACACTAATTCACAATGACAATACACAATTGACACCCATACATTTCCTGTACACACAATACAATGTTGTAAAAACCAGATAACAAATACGGCTAACCTGACGTTTACTTCTCATTTGACTCTGAAGATGGCTAAGGTTGTAGAAACGTCAGTCAACAACAACAAAAACAGTCCTTCTCAGAACTATACTAACCTGGACGATCTACATCTACAAACATATGACTTTTACCTATGCTAATGAGATAAATGATCTCGAATTGTAACACTCGGCTGAATTTTTTTGCAAACGCCAAACAGTACGATTTTATTCATAAAACTCCCAGGTAACTTGAGTTCATAAAACTCCCAGGTGAATGCAGTTCACACTACATATGCTGCTTGGCTATATCGTAATTACCTATTGATGAGAGAGCTATTTCAGTTGAGTAATTGTTTTCAAATCCCAAACTGATTTTATCCAAAGCAATATTGAGCGATTATATGTTGTCATACATGTGAAGCTTTTAGATTTTTGACAAAATTGTTTGATAAATATGTGAAAGCATGCTGTGACAATGTTTTTTGGACCTCCATTTCAAAGAGAGAATTTTTGTGATCTGCTTAAATTTATTTACTAAATTAAAGAGCATATCAGGATAGCATCTGTTAATGTTACAATCAATCAAATTTCGGTAAGATATGAAAAATAGCCATTCAATTTATCTTCAATTTGCGATGGATCTTGTAAAGGTTTTTTCATTTTCATCAGGGAACGGCACGGCATCAAGGCTTGTATTTTTGAAGATTGTTGGTCGGGAGGATGTTTTCTTAAACCAAATCTTCTTCTTTCAATTAACTTTAAGCATTCATTATGATAAATATAATGGCTTGTTTAGTTCTTAATGAGAGATGAGATAGTTATTTCAACGGTAGATGTATGGGACATGTAAACGGTAGTTGCATGTTATCTTAAAAATCTTCTATAATTGTATATTATTTTTCCTAGGTGATTACGATGCTCTACAAACATGGCCATTTCAAAAAAAAATCACAATGATGTTAATGGATCAAGGAAATGGTGATCACATGATTGATGCTTTTCATTCAGATCCCCAAAGTTCTTCATTTCAGCGACCAAAGTCCGATATGAATATCGCCTCTGGATCTCCACTCTTCATGCCTTTAGAGAGTTTAAAAAATCGTCAGTATATTAAAGATGATACTCTGTTTATTAAGCTTATCGTTGACTAAACAGGTCGGAATTTTGTCATCCCAACTTAACATGTATGTTTTAGGGATGTCAAAATTCCAATCGATAATACCACCTATATGAAGTCTATTTGAAGATGTTTTTGCGCATGCTGCAGCTGTTATTCACAAAACATGAAATACAGTTATCCAATAGATGTCTTATTTGTCGTGCCGTTCAGCGAACATGTTATAATTAAGAGTCTCAAGACTTCAAGGAAAAGTACGTTTATAATTACGTGATTAGATGAAGGATAGATATTTGGTTTGGTTCTCTTAAGCCCGCCGCACACTGGCAAACTTTTTGTGCGTACTTTTTATTTCAGACAATTTGGATCGACAAGAGCGCACGCGCACAACTGGCAAAACAAAATGGCTGATTTATTGAACATCTTGAACGAATTGATAAACAACGATGATTTCTCTGAAGACGAAGAAGAAATGATACTGTTTTTGTTGTGACGACGATGCTTCACACAAATAAAGGCAACAAATCGTGAGAAATTCTAATGTTTTGCCAGGGTGCGGCAGGTTTTAGATTAAGGTTGATGGTTAAAACTTACTTGAAATGAGTTGATCTTTGTTTGAGGTATTTGGGGTATAATAGATTGTTTAAGATGGTATATGGATCGTTTGGGATGCAATGAACCATGTCTGTTTCAGTACATTGCTGTGCTAATGGGGTGTAAAATTGCAGTATCTTCTACCTCATCCTGTTTGGCTTTACATTCATAATAAATTTCTGTACGCTATAAGTGGTTAGTATGAGATATTGCAATCTATTTTTTCAGTTGTGCTTTATTTGACAATGGATCTTTCAAAATCTTACAGCGTTACTTATCATAGGTTTCCTTTTGTTGAAGTTTTCAATAAGCTATTAGCTGCTGCAAGAGATCAACTGAACAGTCTTTTGTTGAAGGACTTTAGCAAAGTTATAAAATACCAGAAAAATCATTTAACCTCTTTTCACCTAACGTTTTTTTAAGCTCAGTGAGTTCTTTTTCATTTTAGCTAAGATTTTGGTCGTTTTGTGGTCTCAGAACAATTTGCAATGTTTGAGAAAGTCGAAAGGTGTTTTTATCGGTGCTTACGTTAAACAATTTTTCATTGGTTAATCTTGATTTCAAACCATTGATGCGTATTGTGGTAAATAGGATATTGATGTTTCCAAATGGAAATTGAGGATTTTTCCAAAACTACAATACACATGATAGGTTTTTATCAAATGCTGGTGTTGATTGGTTAAACGACGTTGATACCTACCACACATTTCTCTTTCATTGAATGTTTTGTTCTTGCTTTCAAACACTAGACTAGCTAACTCAGGAAGAGCTTCTATCATCTCTGACATGTTAGTGGACTAGAATTGTGCGGCAGTAAATCGGTTGTTAGGTAATGATGGTTTGTGTTTTGTTTATTATGGCTGCACCGATTTGTTGTATATACTTCATATTGGTGGTATTAGGCATATATATTACATCTGTATATGTTTACATAAATTTGTTGCTTAAATTTATAATTTACTTGATACAAGTTACTCTTAAGCCATTATCATGAGCCAAGTTTGCAAACCCAACGCTAGTGTGGACCTAATCATAACAGCCACTCAAGTAAAACTTGAAAATTTGTTTTCTTGAAAATATGCAGTTATTCCATTTGGAATTTCATAACTAAAATGTTTTTTCTTTTCGCAAATGTAAGTGAAAGATTGAGCGTATATATCAAAAAATTTATCATTACAAAATATCGCCAAAATTTAGTTAAGGTTTTGTGTGCCCTTATAAGCCCTACAACTTTGCATCACTCAAACAATGCATGTCGGAATTCCTTCGTTTTGTGAAAATTGTAACTTGTATCATTTATTGTGGGAAAGAGATGCATCATCATTTATGTCATATATAGATGCAATATTTAAATGTTATTTTTAATGTGCCGTTTGCTATTTGATTCTACACATTTAAAATATTTCATGAATTGCTATAAATTGGCTAACATTTTTTCTTTGGTAATTTATTGCGCGGTTTTCTCGATCAAATAAAATCTGCTAATCTTTTTTTTTGTTTGCATTGTGTTGCATGAGTTCACATTAATTTTTGTGGCCTATTGCTTCATAAAAATCATACCCGTTAATTTAGAGAACCGGTATTTTTCTCAAGCAGTTTTGCGATCTTTGTCAATATATCAGATTTTAAAGCAATAGATTTGTTGGGTAAAACTTTTATTGCTTAGAAAGCAATTATCAAATTTTTTAAGGTTTTAAAATATTTTCAACAATATTGTAGGTCAATAGCAAACAGTACATTAATGTAATTTATTTTATCAACGATTTTCTTTCTAAACTGCATCACTAAGTTGCGGAATTTTCGTCAATTATAAAACTTAGTTTCAGTTGTTGTAATTAATTTCAGTTGTTGTAACTTAATTTCATTTTTGTTCTGAATGTATTTGATGTTTTTATAGAATTCAAGTATGAAATAATAAATAATTCTGTTTGTTTTTGTTTTTTTATTTAATAAATGTTTAAGTTGCAGGAATTTTCTTAATGTAGCCAACCTAAGCCTAGCTGGAAGGACTGTTTGTGAAATGAAAGTTTTCAACAAGACTTAGGTTTAAAAACCTTGCATGTACACTTGGGATACTATTAATCTAATTCGGGACGAATGTCCTGAAACTGAGACCCCCTTAAAGTGGCATTGTCGACATATCTTTACTTCTATTGAAACAAAACACTCTTGTCACAAAGCTTGGATGAGGAAAATGTGATAAAACAAATTGTTGAAGATATGATAATTATCTCAAAAAATTGTTATCACTCAAATTTCAAAATGACAATAATTTCATCTTTAAAATTTGTAAAATGAATTACTTTAATATGATGTAAACACGGGATATAAAGCACGGAGATATTTATGCCAGAAGTTGACCGTCGATCGGCTTTCCGAGCGCATTACTTCGTTTCTTCCGAGCACAGGAGCACTCATCCCATATAAGGTCAACAGTACATCGCATCATTCACAAGAGGCACGTTAATTAAATTAAAGAAAGCTGTAAACATGGAAAAGCGCTAAACTTTTTATCACTTCACTAGACTTGCCTTGAAATATTTTTTCCAAGCTAATTTGCAACATATGCTACAACACGAAATCATTTTAATATGCAGTACATGAAATTGTGGACCTAAGGGGGCGGAGCAGCATTCCTCCGTGCAATAGTAACTTCTAGTACTAAATTATCCTGGCGTACTAATCTCTAAATCACTGACATAGGCTTATCCATTGTAAAAATATCAACTTATTCTTGTTTTTGCTAAATTCTTAGTTAGATAAATTACGAGATCATGGTTGATATAGGATTTATCGCTGAAATACATATATTTGCTTGGTACCAGCTATCCATGTCCGGACAAAAAAAATAATTTTTTTGTGGTCTCAAATAAAAGACTTGGGCCACGCAGGCCGTTTGTATGTACTTTGAGAGGCGAGCATGAATATTTTGATTTTTTCTTAGGTAACTATCCAAGTACAAATTTCAGCCATTAATTTAAATGTGAATGATAAATATTTACATTATCAAGAAATTTATACTTATACTGGCACTTCTATCATTTCAAATGTTGTTATGCATTTGGGTTTTCCTTTTAAGAAACTTTGCTATCTGTTCGTTGAATGACACGAGAAACTGCAAGTTTCAACACGACTTACGTTGGGTTTAGACTAGTTCAGTATCTTTGATGAGATTTTCCGAAGTCAAGGTAACTGTAAGTTTGCATATCATTGCTCATTAAATCTATCGTTTCCATATGAATTATAATATAACGCAATGAAACACGTGCACTGATAGGTCTAGAACTGTGTTTTCATTAGCCTGTGCAAAACACATCTGAGCTCAATCAATCAAATCAATCAAAACAATCATTCAGTCAATGAGAATTTTCAAATCGATCATGAATACATTATAGCGGAAAAATTAAAATGTTTGTTTGTTTCGCATCATTGTTAATTCATAAAAAAATAAAGGATGTTTTGAACACGAAAGTGTTTGCGCTGGCTTATGCAAACCTCAGAGACGTTTGTGAGAACTCTCGAGCAGGTGCAACCCTCGAACTTTGGTCTCGGGCTTCCACTGATCGGCTCTCGAGTTCTCCCAAAGTCTCCTCGGTTTGCATAAGTCTGTGCAAACACAGTAAACATCTCTTATTTCTTCTTAAGTATTGGGCCTGTTTCAAACGTCGTATTTTGCACGTGTCGAATAAAATAGCTTGGATTAAGTGCATGAAATTCGACGTATTAAACAATTATATTCGACTGCTTTAATTGAGGTCGACCTTAACTTTAAACTCGATCGGTTTGTCGCATTATGCGACGAAAGTGCGACGTCGCTTCAAACGCTGAATTTTGCATGTGTCGAATACAATTTGGCTCGCGCGTTTTACTCACAACAAAGTCTGGAACGAGATAAAGCGAAGACGTCGTGTAATAGTTGCTTTTGACACATGCAAAATTCGACGTTTGAAACAGTCCAAGTTGTGACAGATATTGATTTTCATTAGGGCTTTTTGATTGACTAAAATAGACTAAAGTTTGTTACGATGAGCTCGAATAGCATTTTTCTTCGTTTGTCACTGAAAAATTGTTGCCTGTTGATTGCTGCCCCAGTGAATATAAATTATAATGTCAATATACATGCGAATACTATTCAATATATAAATATTTTCCGACAAATTGTCAAGTTAAAGAGGGTTAGTTTTTTGAGAGCAGTGATAAATTAGATACCGTAATAACATTTCAGTTTTTGTGCTTACGTTGCGTATTCTAATTTATGCAATAATTTCTTACAATACCTAACATATCGTGAGATATTGGATCATGTGACGTGCATATGAAGAAAATATTTTTAGTACGATATCCTCGTGGGTTTTCCCCTAAAATTACTAGGGACTCCCCTTAATCTACAAGAGTCGTCCATTGCTTAGTCATGGTTATATGCTTAGCTTAGACTCTTTGCTAGAATCAAGAATGGATGTCTTTTTTTGCTGAGAATTTTCTCGGTTCTTTAGCGTAAGTTATCGAAAAATTTTAAATAATGGTAAATATGAGTAGATTTGTTTTGAAAAGTAAACGATGCTCTACAGCATATAATTAAAATTAATGCAGTTGGCGCTATATAATAATTACAATTCTATACAACTGAGTAAGCTCCATGATTAAATTCAACTACTTTTCAACTACAAAATATTCATTCTTCTGTACGATATTTCATTCAGCGCATGGTTTTCCTTAAGCATGGCAGTGGGTTTTCCCAAAAATAATTAGGGATTCCCCATATATCTGCAACAGCCATCTTGTTCAGTACAACATATATGGCTTTATGCTAAAGTTATGTCCAAAAGGGCTTAGAGATTACGTTGAGGTCATCTAACGTAAGCATTCAATGCATTTGTAAAAATGGTTATGTTTATTTGTTTGACGATGAAACTTAAGATGAACCTTATTTGCAGTTATTTTCAAGTTCTATGTTTACGTCAACGGAATCATGACAGTTTACACATCACAGCTTCTTGTGTAAATTTAAGAAATTGTATGCTTTTTTGCCTGCTTGAGTAAATTGATTGAATAGCTGGTTGTCATCGTTGGTGTTACTGTGTTACGTTAGGTTCATTTCCTTCATTGCCTTGCTCGCTCGTTTATGTCTTTACCAATGTCTGCTCGATCTGTGTTCATAAGAAGCAATTTAATTCGTTTAAAGGATTATTATGACAGCTTTAAGTTAAATAGATGACTTGCTTTGTTTACGTTTTGCTGGCAGCTCAACCAAATTTGCCTGCCCTCAAACTCATCTATATTGTTATGTAATCTCACGCTCTTATCTGCAGTACAATCGAATCAAAATTTTGGCTGGAATTATACCCTCACTGATCTTAAGACTTTTATTCGTTGCTTATCCATAAACTGAATTTTTCAAAATGTTGCTTTACTCTTAGAATTGTCTTCGACAATGCCAGGAATGAAGATCCGCGAGGATGATCGCAAAGAAATTGACCCAAGGTTTAAATGTGTTAGCTGTCATTTAATCGTTGTCGATCCAATGCAGTCCAAGTGTGGCCATATGTTTTGTAAAGCTTGTATGGTAGACCTCCTTATGTAAGACAATTTGTTGTTTATCAACGTTTTATGAAATTTATTGTCTCTTTTAGACGTATAGCTTGCCAGCTGGCTATAGTTTACTGTTGACTGTTAAGCCACGCATATATATTTTTTGGAATTCACTCAATACAATTTTTGACGGAAGTGGGGCCTGTAAACGTAATTGATCCTTCTCTGTTTAGCACCAATGAGAATTGCCTGCATGTATTGAGGGCTTAGACCTTGTGGAATCCTAATTGTAATTACATGAAATATTTATCAAAACTCCTACTTTTGATGTCAATATATTGAACTTGTAAACAAAGGTTTGCTATTGGCTACTATGATGGAAAGAAAAGGATAACATCAGCAACATCAGTATCAATTTTCTTATAATGTCTTGTTTTCTAACTTGTATAGAATTAGCGCATTTTATTATTTGCAACAATTGTGTACTGCAGATTAACTTAAGTGCCACAGTAAATTTTAATTGATAAACTGTTTAACAAAAAAACCCCACTATTTTAAACAAAAGAATATATAGTACAACTAGCAACAACACTTTGCCACCAAGCTTTCAACTCTTTTTGTTTTATGTCGGATTACAATAAACGCAATGTCTAATGTCTTCAACAAGTGACAAACAAGTTTGTTGTGAGCATTTACTCTTGATTGCACAATTTCTTGCCTTACTAAGTTTAAAGGGCGGAATAAAAACGGCACATGTAATAAGGAAGGAAAAACATTCTTAGTCTCTTCATGTCTAATATAGTGACTTCTATTTTTTACTGATTGGGAGTGTTACCATGTGATGTCATGACACCAGTTCGTCAAAACGTATGTGATATTTGTTACATTATGCATAGTAGCAATCACATATTCTAACTTGATATAATTTAAGAGTGCGCGTATCCACGTTGGTATGGAGTAAATTTTTTGAAACTCTAAATTCATTTTTATGTGTGATTTTTTAGGCAGTGTTCTAAAAATCGTTCAAATTACTCCTCGATATAAATATATAAAGCATTACAAGTTTTTATATATTCGTTTAATCTGTAGAGAACCTGATCCAAAATGTCCTGAAGATCAAGAAACATTAAGCAGAAATGATGTAAGTGAAAACTTTCCAGAATTTTCACAGGCGCAACCTCGGGCAAGTACACAAGGGCCAAGTGCGACATTTCCCATTTAATAGGAAATATCTGAGCAGTTAAACGAAGTTTTAGCTTAAGAGTCAGTCAGTGGCTTCCCCAGCATGTATGTCCTGTAAGAAAAAAATTTTTTATATATTTTCATAAATGGAGAAAGTATGGCGGCTGTTAAACGAAGACACGTGACGAGTGAATGACGTTCGACAAAGTTTCGTTGAGTTAAAAGGTATGTTGAAAGATTTTGTTTAATATATCGCAGATTCTGGTAATTTATTCACAGTATTATAGTTTGGATGTTTTTGTTTCAGCTGAAACATCATTCTATTAAAAATGCTATCGACGACATTCATATTTGACATTTTAACTACCGTACACATATGGGGAAAGTGAGACACTCACCATTTGAGTAATGATCATACGATAACATGTATCTAGCGTCCCTTATTTTGTGATTTTGTGTGCATGTTGTTAAATTTAACTAATTATTTGATCAATAAATATTATTCTTGTAAACACGTTATTTTTTTGCTTAAATATTGACTACCCTATAATAGAATAGGAAGCTATTTGAATTTTGAAATATGTTTGATTTTTAGCAAAATGAAGGTGATGGCCCAATGACAAGCATCTATGATTACTGCTCTGCTAAAAACATATTGAAAGGAAGATAGAAGAAGTTGAATTAACAAACTACTAATGATGTTATTCGCATGATGCCTAGATGAAAAATTAAAGAAGAGCAATGAAAAGATATTGCAAGACCATTTGACTGCAAAAGAAAATAATAAATATGATTGGATCTTCCCTGTCTGCTGTGAGAGATAGAAAGAACATGAAGCTGGATGAATTGTTTGTGTGAAATATAATGCTTACGATCACAAGGATTGAAAATTAGACAAGATTTTTTATGGTGTGTGTTTGGATTCCACCCCTGGTTTTGTTACTTTGTTACTTTCAAATATTTTGATCGATTATGTTCAACTCAATTTTTCTGTACCTTAATATAAAAAAAATCATTGAATTATTGATAAAAATTAATTTGATAATTTTTTTGAGGTGTTTTATAAAATTTTACTTTTTCAGTGCTGTATTACCTATTGAAACAAAGTTCCTGTCTAAGTGTCTCACTATGTCCCTGAATCTATGGAAAGTGAGACACATCGACTAGTCTGATATAATTGAAAAATAAAACTCTCTGTAAAATTTAAAAATAAAAATTTTGAACATTGTCTATATGAGAAGAACCTTAAGATTTATTAAACGTGTCGCACTCAGCCCCAGACTACAACAACTCAAACTTAGCTTAATTTTGTTGTCATTACCCTAACTATATCATACGTCCTGCATTTTCTCAACGTTTTGAAATTGTATCAATTTTTTATTTCTTTTTTCCTATGTCAGTTTTTCCCTGATGCTTTCACGAAACGTGAATTGAAAAAGATTCGTTTACATTGTCCTTCTGATCAGTGCAAATGGTTTGGCACCTACAAAGAATTGGAAGTGAGTTCTCAAAAAAACTGTTTATTAGCTAACTACAGCTTCTTTTATCATGTAGTAAAGTAAGATTTATGAGCCTTTGTCGCGCACAGGGTAACGATGTTGACTTTTATTTTTCTTTAACCTATAGTGGCATTTAGAAAATTGTGAATATGCACAAGTTCCTTGTAATTATTGTAAAGAAAGCATACCAAAGAAAGATATTATGAATCATAAGAATAAGATTTGTGATGAAGTGCCGACCGAATGTGAATTTCAGGCCATTGGGTGCAATCACGATAAGGTAAGATCAATTTTTGCTTAAACATACTTAAACGTACTTACAACTTTTAAAACAAACGTTTCCAAAGCCCTATAAAACTTTTAAATACAAAACGCGTTTCGTAGATTGGCGTATTTCAATTTTTATTCCAGTTTTTGAAGAAGGAAACAAGCAGCTTGGTTTAATTGTGATATGATTTAATTTGTGTAACTAATATAATTAAATTGCGAATAATTTAATTTGTGTTGTCATAATTATTATTATTATTTTATTTAAACACCTACGTATGGCCCTAAAATATAAGTAACTGCCAAATTTTGTTAATTACAAACAACATCACAGCATGTCGTATACAAGCATCAGAGTCATTTTAGTTACCCTGCATAAGTCCTGCATTCATTTTCTTTAATATAGACTTTAAAAACTAACTCTTGTTTAAGAATTAGTTTCGATAATTCACCGATCGTTTTCCGTAAGCCCCAGTTGAGGGCTTCAATTGTCGCGATACCAATTATCATCGTTACGCCGCTTCTACAACTCAAACGCTAATTGCCTGTATTTTCCGAGTTTTTTTTTAACCTTTTCTCGTCATAAGATTTTGTTGCTGTGGGCAAGCCATATCACATATCCAGATATATTTCACCTCTTTAATTTCTAGGATTAAGTCACGTCTTCTTGATTGTAGTTCTTTAAAGTTAAAACAAAAATCTCATAAATCCCACTGTTCCTTGGGTCTAACCCTCTTTGTACCACACTATGTCCGTTCCTATCAGCTTATTTTCTTTTACCCATTTGATTGCAAATAGCTTTAGTGCTCTATTGAGTCCACTCAGAGTTTGCTAAGACTTTGCATCCTGCATCCAGATGTTCTAGAGTCTCGTTGTGCTCTTGGTATATTTTGCATTTACCATCCTCCATCAAGGGTAGCTTTCCATGATCTCGTTTTAGACTTTCATTAAACGTAACAAAGAACATCTGGAGTGCCGAATATGTTCTTATTATTTAACTTACTTACAAAGATTATTTCATCATATTATAACCAAAATTTTGTCAGTCGATGCAACGTAATTATATCAGATGAAAGAATTTTGCCAACATGATTTGTGTCGAGCAATAAACTTGACAGTAGATGGTTGTATCAACTATCAAATGACCAACGTTTTTACCTGGTTTGATTTGGTATAATATGTTTGTTAGCAAATGAGACAATTAATAATGTACATTGACGCACTACTTAATGTCTAAAAACATTAAAATATTGAATAAACTGAAATAAAATTGCAAGATCATAAACAGGGGCGGATTATCCAGTAGGCGAAGCAGGCTGAAGCCTACAGGCCCAGCTTTCAGGAGGCCCGTTTTATTTAGACGTAATTATAGGACTTGGACGTTTTTGCTATTCTGGGCTAGCTAAATGTGTTTAATGTATATCAGTCATGCTGCTAAAAACCTTGCGAGTCATTGAATGTAGAGAAAAATGGCTTTCGTTCCATCTTCTTTTCAAATACACAATGGTCAGAACTTATGAAGTATTGGCTTTTCCCACTTCCCTGACCATGTCCATAATTTTCGAAATTTCGTTTGAACTTTAAAATGAACTTTTCCCATTTTTTTTACCCTATGGGGTTACAAACAGGAAATACAAAAGCAAATCAAAATTGAATTTAGTGGGAGGAATTGAGCCCACAACTTTGTCTTAGCCTACAGGCCACGTAATTAGTAGTCCACCACTGATCATAAAGCTTTACAATGCAAGTATGTGCACGTGAGAGTGAATTCGAGATGGAAAGTTTGTCGAAATTGTTTTGCAAGTTGTGACTACTCAGGGGGAGTGGATTAGAAGTTCATGCAGTTGTGACGTAATCTGGCTCGCTAAGTGCGTGAAAATTATTCCAATTACTTAAAATAACCATAATAACGTCAATAAAATTGATTAATTTATACAACCATCTTGTATCAATTGTAGATCTTGATATTAATCATTATTTGATTATTTATATAGTTATATTACATCGGCAGACGAGATTTTGGTTTAATATAATATTATAAAGTAAATAATTCAAAGTTCGGCGCCCCATAAGTTTAATGTCATGATGATATTTTTATATTTAATTCAAGTCGACACTGGCAAACTACCTGTAGACTAATGGTTAAATTATCAATATCATATAAACACAAATTTTAAAAAACTGAGAACTACACCAACTTCTACACACCCTTAATGTGCACCTCTGATTTCCATTAGATTTATTTCAATATGTGAAAGAACAAGATTTATCAATGGCACACGAATTCTTTGCTATAACTAGTCTAAATTACTGTAAAATAGCATCGTATCGCCGTTTTTTTTAAATCGAATGATTGTTTTTTTTTGTTGAAAGAACACGATACCATTACTTCTATTCTTTCTTTCACAGACTTTAAAACGAAAGGAGATCCGACAACATATGAATGACAATCTAATTGATCATGTGAGCGCCTTGTTACGATATGTTATGGCATTTGTTACACAGTTGAATAACTACGTACCACGTCCAGAGTTTACTACTGCTATTCAAAACATGGCTGACCAAGTTACTGCTGTTCGTGCCAATCTTTCAGAAAAATTTGTGATGCTAGTAGGTAAACTTACAGGTCTTGAAAGGAGGATTGAGAGCATCGAGAGTCGTGGTGGTAACGATAGTAACCCTCAGATGTCCTCAGACGTTTCCTCGATGCGTGATAGAATCTCGACTCTCGAACGGCAATTACGAGATAATTCCTCAACTATACTACGATTTCGTGAGCGTTTAGATCAAATTGATGAATCACTTGCTCGAAACACGGTGAAGATTACGGATCTCGAAGCGCGACCTGGCGCTCGTGCACTGGGATCTAATCAGGCCATACACAGCTACAATGGTACCTTACTTTGGAAAATAGATAAGTTCAGCAAGAAGAGACAGGACGCTATTAATGGTATCAAAACAGCCTTGTACAGTCCACCATTTTACAGTTCTCAATATGGTTACAAGATGTGTGCTAAGATCTATATGAATGGCGATATTTTTGGAAATGAAGCTCATTTATCCTTGTTCTTTGTTGTCATGAAAGGTACGACCGTTTTTATTATTTTTGCTTTTTATATCATCAAAAATGGTCACAAGTTAACAGCGCCATAGCTGATATAACTGTTAAAACGACATTCCCTTTGTCTATATTAAAAAAAAAACTCTATGTCTTGTTTTTTCCTAAGTATTCACCATAATACATACTCTATAATTTTTATTATTCACTTGGTGGTCAGACTCAAAATTGTTACAGTGATTCTAAGATATCTACTAGTAAGCTTTAAAACTTCAGAGAAAACTTTTTAAAATGATGGAAATGTAGAAAAAGGGTAAGTAAAGGAATAAATAAAGGTATTATAGGAACAATAGTTATCTATTGTTGAAAGTTAAAGTATTTGATAATTCTAATGGTATTAATGGATTCTGACAGCAGTCAGCAGATTTGAACGTTCTTGCTCAACATCTTTTTATCTCCAATTGATTATTGTAATTTTGTTGTTTTTAAATTGGTTATAAGACGAATTTCCCATCCATGTTTAGGTGCATGTGTACTGCACAGGAAATTTGAAATGAATTAATGGATTTCTCTTATTTTAAATCTTTTAGAGATATTTTACTTAATTAACTATGCAAAAACATTACTGTGACATCATCACATTGCATAATAGTATTTCATAAATTTTTCGTGTCATAAAAACATTTGATTTGCATGTGCAACATTTTAATAAATAAATGAGTACATGAATATATGCATAAATGCCCTAGTTAGATATTTCACAGCACATTATCGACAAAATGACAAATCCTAATTATGTCTTGTTATTTCATAGTGATATTTTTTTGCATAATTAATAAAGTTAAATATTTCTAGAAAGAAGTGAAATAATTAAATCTACTGAAGACGTCCTTAACTTATTTTAAATAGTCTTTGCAATGTAATCATAAATTTGTGTAGTAAAATTTGGTTTTATTAGAATTTTAAGTACTGAATACAACAAACTTATTTGTTTACATGTTATACATATACATGGTATTTTAAGGTGATTACGATGCACTACAAACATGGCCATTTCAAAAGAAGATCACAATGATGTTAATGGATCAAGGAAATGGAGATCACATGATTGATGCTTTTCATTCAGATCCTCAAAGTTCCTCATTTCAGCGACCAAAGTCTGATATGAATATCGCTTCCGGATCTCCACTCTTCATGCCATTGGAATGTTTGAAAAATCGGCAGTATATCAAAGATGATACGATGTTTATTAAGCTCTTCGTTGATTGACAAGTCAGAATTTTGTCATCTCAACTTGCGATGCAAGTTTGGGATGTCAAAATTCTGATCTATAATACCACCTATATGAAGTCTATTTGCTTGGAAAAGTTTAAAGAAGTTTTTGCGCATGCTGCAGCTGTTATTCACGATACATGAACTACATTTATCCAACAGATGTCTTATTTGTCTTGCCGTTCAGCGAACATGTTATTATTAAGAGTCTCAATAGACCTCAAGGAAAAGTACGTCTATAATTACGTGATTAGATGAAGGATAGATATTTGGTTCATTTAAGCCCGCCGCACATTGGCAAACTTGTTGTGCGTACTTGTTATTCGCGACAAGTTGGATCGACAAAAGCGCACGCGCACAACTGGCAAAACAAAATGGCTGAATTATTGAACATCTTGAACGAATTGATAAACAACGACGATTTCTCTGATGACGCAATATTTCGTAAATATCGTAAATAACGATAATGATATATTTCGTAAATATCGTAAATATTCCTGAATATGGAAAACGCATTGTAATTGTTTCTGTCATTCTGTGTGGTTTATGGACTGGTATTTGTGACTGACTGGGACAATGGAAGCTTTGTGTTTGAATAATAACACTGGTCAACAGCAAATTTGGTGTTTCAGTTTTGTAAACTGATTTTGGACAATTTTGATGTGCTGAATCCAAAAATAACACTGTTTTTGCTGGATCAGGTCGACATTTTAAGCTATCGTTAATTTTCTATTTTTTAACTTTTCAACACCCGAGAAAGGTACAACAGAAGTATTAACCATTTACCGTTTGAAGTTCTATTACCTGAACATATTTAATTTTTTTAGCACTAGCAATACAAAGAAGAAAGCATTTGAATAAACAATTTTTGATTGAATTTTAATTAGGGAGTCTAAGTTTGATCGTGACTAAAACACCACACGAGTACATACGAATACATACGAGTACATACGAGTGACATACGAGTACATACAAGTACATACGACTGACATACGAGTACATACGAGTGACATGCGAGTACATACGAGCCATACAAAGTGATAATTATTTCATGTTATTAAAAGCAGACGAAAAGTTGCAGAAGGTAAGTCTTACGTATTGGTTAGGTATCCATCTGTCCAGATGTTCTGTGATGAAATGTAGATTGTAAATTTTTTATCTGTGTTTTCAAAGTCAAATTATTTCATTACTGCGCGATTAAAACTGTTCGCAGGACATAGATATAATTGTGCCGAATTTTTTTATACAGACTTTAAATTTCATGGAGACAACGTACAAAAATTTCATTTTTATTATATTCAGGTATACAATGGCGACTCGAAGAATGTGTGTAAATAAGCCAGATGTTTTTTGCTATGTTTGTGGTGAATACACACTTTCACCAATCGCAATACTGTCACCACCTTTATCAAGCGTGTTTACTATGCATATTTTGGCATGAAGCTCGGCGATCAAGACAAACGTTGTGCACCTCACATGGTTTGCAAAAGATGCACAGAGCATCTCCGTCAATGGAGCAAAGGCACGCGAAAGTCCATGAACTTTGGCATCCCCATGATTTGGCGAGAGCCTTCAAATCATACAACCGATTGCTACTTTTGTGCTATCAATGTCATGGGAATTAACAAAAAAAATCGCACAACACTGGAGTATCCCAATCTACCGTCAGCTATGCGCCCTACTCCTTATAGTGAAGAAATTCCCGTACTTGTATTTGAAGATACAAGTATTGAAGAAAGCAGTAGTAGCCAGGATGAAACTCAAAGCATTGCCACTACCGATGATGCATCCTTTCCCGATGACAATGATGAGCAGCCAAAACTGTTTTCCCAAAACGAACTAAACGATCTTGTTCGCGATTTAAATTTGCCAAAAGACTCTGCCGAACTTCTTGCATCTCGTTTAAAGGACAAGAACATGCTAAATGGTAAAGTTAAGGTAAGTTTCTTCCGTACCAGGCACCAGGAGTTTTTAAGATATTTTGCTCAAGAAAAAGAGTTAGTCTATTGCAATGACATAGTAGAGCTACTGAAACATCTCGGAGTACCTGAATATAAATCAGAGGAGTGGCGACTTTTTATTGACAGAAGCAAAAGGTCTTTGAAATGTGTGTTGTTACACAATGGAAATCAATTTGCATCTGTGCCATTGGCACATTCGACAACATTAAAAGAACAGCATGAAGCAATTAAGTACGTCCTAGAAAAAATTTCTTATGACCAACATAAATGGCTGATTTGCGTTGACTTAAAAATGGTCAACTTCTTGCTTGGTCAACAGTCTGGATTTACCAAATACCCATGCTTTTTATGCCTCTGGGATAGTAGAGATTGTACTCATCATTACGTGAAAAAAGAATGGCCAGTACGTGAAGAGCTTGAAATTTGTAGAGCAAAAAATGTGATAAACAAGCCTCTAGTTGACAGGGGACGCATTTTATTTCCTCCACTGCACATAAAGCTCGGTTTGATGAAGCAATTCACAAAAGCTTTGGATAAAGATGGACGGTGTTTTCAGTTTCTGTGTAAAACCTTCCCCAATTTGTCAACTGAAAAATTAAAAGCTGGTATTTTTTTAACGGTCCTCAAGTTAGGCAGCTTATCAAAAACTCTCCCGCGTTTGAGGAGACCATGAATCCTGTGGAGCAACAAGCGTGGAATTGCTTTGTTCAGGTCGTGATGAATTTCCTAGGCAACACAAAAGCAGAGAACTATAAAGATCTAGTAGCCAACATGTTAGTTGTCTGTAGGAGCCTTGGCTGCAATATGAGCATAAAATGCACTACCTGTACTCGCACATGGACTGCTTTCCCGAAAATCTTGGCTCTTTAAGCGATGAGCAAGGAGAGCGCTTTCACCAGGACTTAAGAGAAATGGAATCACGCTACCAGGGAAGGTGGGACATGGTGATGATGGCGGACTACTGTTGGAATATAAAAAGAGATGTGGAAGCACCAAAACATTCGCGACAATCAAAAAAACAAAAATTTAGACCGTAATAATGCAAACATTAAGTTTTCATTTTTAGTTACATGTACTGTACAAGAAGTGTATATATTCTTTGTTAGAATACTGCAATTTTATAATAAAAACTGACATTTTGTTTTGAAACATCATTAGTAAATCTTGAAAACATTGTTTTAAAAAAATATAACTAAAGTCGCATAATTTTAAATTCAAATTTGTAAAAAAATTTGACCTCCTAGAGCAAAATGAATGTTATTTCTAGATTTAGCATAGCAAAAATACAGTAAATCAGTCAAAAAATATCAGACACCTTTTAAAAAGTTTTTTTTTGTTGATCAGTGTAATTGACATTTTAGAAAATCCTGTAATTTTAATTGTGCATAGCTTGCATATGTTCATCGATAAATTTAAATAAAATTCCAATGGAAACGAAGCAATTGTTTAAATGCGAATAAAAAGATTATTTTCGAATACGTCAAATATTGCGATTAGTTACGGTCACTAGTTATGCAGCATTTGACTTGTTTTCATAACACATTATGGATAATATATATAGGTGATGTGCAGTCATTCGTTTGGGAGGGAGAGAACAATGGAATTTTCGCTATGTTCAATGACATCTGCACTGTAAATAAGGAAAATCCTTTAATAAAATCACCCAACATAGACACCATAAATAGCAAAATTCAGTGCGATGAGGAACGACCGATATTTTATTACTCATACTAGTGTATGCTTTAAATGGCACGTTACAAGAGGAAGTTTTGAGGTTTGATAGTATTTTAATAGGTATTTTAATAGTTCTGTAGAAGAGATCAAGTATAAAGAACGAAAGGAAATGTTTCATCACTTATATTTGGAGCACAGCAGATCACAAAAATAATGTGCATTTATGTGAAGCCACTAAAGCCTGTGGTACATCTAAAAAGCTTAGAAAACGACCGAAAAGGGTGGAGAAATCAATAAAGGCTAGGTTAGTGGAGCTCAGCAAAGTGTTTAAGTCTTAAATATGAATTTGTTGTTCATAGTTTTATTTGCTCGGGCTTTGTCCAGTCTATATGTGTCGTCATAATTCAGCAAATAATATGTTTTTGCTGCATATGATTTCCTCTGGTTTTCCCCAAAAATATCTTGGGATTCCCCATCTCCACATTTTAGTTATAAAAGAGTGGATATTTTTGATATTGGTGATTGTTATTAAAAGATTCAAGAGTATAGCGTCAACTTGAGGGTCTTAGCTAGAATTGAAATTTTCGTCTTTCACTATCACTTTTGGTTGTAATGTATGTATTCAATTATTTTTGATTACGGTGATGTTGATTTTGTGTTATTGATAAGACTTTAGGTGAGCCGCGAGGATTATTTGCACAAGTGAAATTGTATGTTTAAATAGAAGTCGCTATCCTGAACTGTGGGTGTATGTGTTACTGTGAAGATACTCTATGTATTGTCGTTATTTTCCTGCATTTTTTTCAAATATTGTAAATGTTGTTAGTTTCAACTTGTAAGCTCAAATATTTATCTTTTGCATGCTGATATTTTATTGATATTATATATTATTCTAATAGTCAGAAATTTATTGGATAATATCGGGGAGTACGCAGATAAGTAACGAAACTTATGATGAGCATAGCAGCTTTTGCTTATGGGTATTCATGGCGAAAGCTTGAAACTTTTTTACTAGACTGCCGAAAGCAATTATTTTAAGGAACAGTCAATTATGAAAGTTTCGTGCTTTCTTTGTTTCAATTGATACTTTTTATAAATAGTGAGTACACAACCGAAGATTCATCTTGCTTGCATATTATAAGCACTTAATTTTATTTTTAGAATTATCATTCTCAGGACAATTGTGAATTAAGCTTCAAGGGTAAAATAGACGTTTCTTGGAGTATCGGCTATCGAAGTGTTTTGATTTTGTTTTGTGTTTCATTTATCAAAGCTCATAATATTTTACTTTAACAAATGAATTCGTTGCTTGGATGTTTTGATTACTTGACGGTTCGTTCCATCGATTAGGGGAACCCCCGGTCTCTCTCTCCCAGAGTATGGCATTTGCTTTATGATTCTAGACATGTTTTAAATATTTTTGGCAATAATTAATCTTGCAACTATATCTTATATCCATTCATTGATTTTCTCAAAAAAATTTTTTATTTTCATGTCATTTTCATCAAGCAACCAGAGCAATTTTGCATCAGTTAGATAAATGCTAGTCAACTAGATGATAAGGGATTAATGGTTTATTTTAAACTAGATAAAATTGATTCAAATCAACAATGCCAGGAACCAAGATTCGAGATGAAGATAGGAAAAATATCCACTCTAAGTATATATGTACTTACTGTCGTCTTCTTCTTGTCAATCCAATGCAGACATCGTGTGGACATTTGTTTTGTCAATCTTGTATCGAGAATCTTCTTGAGAAAGGAAATTTTTGTCTGATCTTATGTTTGGAAGTAGTGTCTTGATAAAATTGTAGATTAAATTAACCAATGAGGTGTATAGTAATTATATTATGTGTGCTTTCATTTGTCTCATTGTGGCTTCATATATTCCAACTTTTTTTCATTATCTAGACATTATCTAGATCCCATTGTGGTGCCTACGTTAAAAATGTCGTTCATTTTTTACTTCAATTATGCTTTTCAAATAAATCCATATAAACCGATATTTTTGTAGCTCTATATATATTTTTCATATGGTTGTTTAAGCAAAATTAATCCCCTAAAAATTGTAACAAGTTTTCATATTTGATCAATCTGCAGACGTCCTAATCCAAAATGTACTGAAGATGAAAAACATTTGAACAAAAACAATGTAAGTAAAATGTTTCAATGGAATAGGACAAAGTTTTGATAAACACTGTTCCACATTGCTGTTATCAGTCGGCTTCAAATTGTTTGAAAAGAAAAACTTCATTGAATTCATGAACACGATGGAAACCTATGCAAGTTCAACATCCGTTTCGTTTACTAAAATACAGCTAAATTAAAAAAGCTTGAATTTCTATGAACTTATACAGATTTTTCCAAATGCTGTCATAAAGCACGAGTTGAACTGTATTCTTTTACATTGTCCCAATGAAAAGTGCAAATGGCTTGGCCCCTATCAAGAATTGAAGGTAAGTTGCGCTGAGAAATTTTCAAAAAAGTACTGTTTTCTATCTTTTCTGTTTTTAGTGTCCTTTTCTAGTTAACGAGAATCTGTTTTTCATGTGCGTCTTCAATATAAATGTTACTGCTATTTATTATTTTTTGGAACGAAAAGGGTCACATAGGAAGTACATGCGAAAATGCTGCCGTGCTCTGTGCATATTGCAAAGATAGAATTCGAAGAAAGGATATTGAATACCACCTGAACAAATTTTGCCGCAAAATTCACGTGAGAATATTTAGACTAATTTATGAAAAGTTCAACCTCAACTATCGATCTGTCAACGTTTTAGAGAGTTTTGTAAATGAAGTGTGTAGATAATAAATTTCCCTGTATGGTTTCCTTTTAACATTAGTTTGTTACCTTGGCTATATCTTTTCTTTTTGTTTTTTTAAAACAAAAAATGATAATTGTTGAGTATAGACATGACGTAATAGTACGTGTGAGATATGAAAATCTTAAAAGTTACTAGCTTACAAGAAAAAATGAAAAATATGTTAAAAATGTTGCATTAATAATTCTGCATCGTAATTCTACATAAAAGAAACTTGCACTTTAGCGATTTTTGTATGAAGACGAGTATCAGAGTTGAACAATATCAACATCTGGATATTCTGAACACCAATGTAGGTACAAGTAATGGTATTGAATGATACAGTTGTACTGTTTACGGATGTCATAATGGTCTTAGCACTGAGCGCAATCGTCTGATCAAACAAATGTAATTTTTTGTCTGAATTTTGCAATTTAAGCGATGTCACTAGATGGTGAAGCTTTCAAAGAGGTTTGACCTAATCAGTTAAAAGCATGTTTATTTTGTTAATTTGGAAACAGACATTATCCTTGAGAGACGGAATTTTTCGTAAAATGAAACTGTAGTTAGAATATATTTGCTGAAGATCAATGTTTATCGGTGATAAATAATTTCCTAAATATTTTCATTAAAAAAATATTCTTTCTTTATCTTTGTCTTTCACAGAATTCAATAGAAGAAGATGCACCAGAGCATATGGATGACAGGATGGAGAGCCTTGAGGGTCGCGGTAATAGCAATAGTAAACTGTGAATACGTCCAGTTGTCCATAGAAGTTTCCTTGATTGCGATAAAATTGCAATTTTCGAGAAACGAGAGAGAATTTAGCCACTATACAACGGTTTTGCAAGTGATTATATTAGATTGACAAATCAGTTAATGGTCAAAAAGGCCTTTTTAGATAGAATAAAGTACAAGCATCTAATACACATATGTTTTATAATTCCAAGTTGATGATGTTAATGATAAAGGAAATGGTGATTACGTGATTGATGCTTTTCATTTAGATTTCCAAAGATCCTCATTTAGCGACCAACGTCAGATATGAATATCGCTTCTCAATCACCTCTCTTCGTTCCATTGGAAAATGTAAGATATCGTCAGTATATTAAAGATGATCCACTGTTTATTAAGCTGATTGATGATTGAAAAGGTTGGAAATTGGCTCTTTTCCATACTTTGTGCTTTATACATTGTCGTCAGTCGAACGTTGGTTAGGGGCATGGTGACAATATTTATATATTCTGTCATTGCCTGGCTAATTTCTTTTGAAAGTGATTTCACTTTAAAATGACATCAGTCTGGCTTAACAGAATATGTGAAACGTCCCCTTACAATTAACATTCGATTGACGCCAGTGTCTGTATAGTGCATGGTATTTGAAGTGGAAAAATTGCGACTTTGTGAAGAGTAATTCTGTTTTTTAGTCCTGGTTCAAACGTCGAATTTACATGGACCAAACGCATTAAAACAAAAGATAATAAGGAAGTTTGTCTCATTTTCTTTTGTTTTTAATGGGTTTGGTGCATGTAAAGTTCGACGTTTAAAACAGACTTAAGTAGTTGAAATACTGAGTTTTGTGCGTAAGCTCGAAGTGACTGTGTAAATGTACATTGTGGTGATTATAGGCTTGTGATGTTTCCAAACGGAAATTGATGTTTTTCTTTAAACTGCAATACATATGACGAGTGTTTGTGTGTTTGTGTCAAATGCCGGCGAAGTTTGGTTAAATGATGTATGTAGCTACGACATTTATCTTATTTTCTTAGTGTTTTCTTCATTATTCTTGTTTTATGAAAGTACTACTCAGTCAACAGTGCTTCAAATTACCAATGGTATGTTTGTCGACTGTAACAGTGTAGCATCAATGCTTTTGTTAGGTGATGATGGTTTGTGTTTGTGCATAATTCACTTTTAAAATGCCTGCTAAGACATTTAATGTGTGACATTTAGAGTGCGTTATGGCATTATTCGATGATAAGAATGATTTCTCTTTATAGTGACAGATTTGTTGAGTAAAAGTTTTTATTGTTGAATAAGAAGTATATATATCAAATTTTGTTAAGGCTTCAAAATGTTTTTAAGAATAGTGAAATTCAATAGCATTCGGGTAAATTGATTAATGCTAGCAATTTTTTTCAATGAACGATATTTTTTGGAACTGCATCATCAAGGTAGTAATTATTCTTCAATTATAAAATATTTTTGTAACTTAATATATCCTTTTTGTTCAATATATATTTTATGTTGAATCAATAAAAGCATACCAAATACTTTTGTTTGCATATTTGTATTTGACCAATATTTGAGTTACAGGATATTTTTAAATAAACATGAAATGATTTTGTTATGATCAAGGCCTTACCCAAGCACTGTACAAATGATCCATGCTCCAAGCCATTCTACCGAACGCAAAAAGTTACTTTTCCATATTAGAAACAGTGAAGTAAAAATTCTGAACACAATTTTTCATGTTATATTCGTTTGTCTATCAAAAGATAAATTAAGGCTCAAAGTGGGAAAATGTTTAAATTTTTGACCAAAAGTTCAAGTTTGACGTTTGAACATTGTATATTTTTCAATAAAACTTGAAAACATGGAGAATAAAATGACCATTTTATATCCCTACATGGAATGCATAATATTCCATATATTGCTCTTTATAGCCAAGTAAAACTCACCGCCAACGCATTAAGGATTAATGTGTTAGCAGTTCACATGTAATATATTCACAGGGAGACAATCTTTCAGAGTATGTTTAGTTTAAATTTTACGCACGTTTTTAGAAATCGTCCGAAAATCAAGGCTCAAGTAAGTAAAACGAGTCTGTTGCTTAAAAATTTGCAAAGAAAATTCAACGATGAAAAATTCTTATAAACTTTTTGAAATTAACACCCAATTACAACATTTTCATACTCTAACTTTCCCCGGACAGGCTATGGCTCTGAAGACTTTACCACGAAGGCTGTATTATTCCCTATCATGACAGCCCATGCACACACACTGTATATGAAAAGGTGGTCTAGAACGTACATAACTTTCCACTATTTGCCAGCTCTTATCATAAATCTTCCCGAAGTTAGACTATGCATTATGCAATTATAAATTGTTTCGGTTTAGTTTAGTACTGGTATCTATTGCCGACTGGGACTCTGGAAGCTTTGAGCTTGAATATTACTAACATCTGAGAAAATGCCGCAATTTTAGTTGTCTAATTATAGCTTGCTTATGTTGAAGGACAAACCTCAAAAAATAAATTATTTGATGTTGATAATGAGCTATTGCGTTATGGAAATTTCAAGATTACTTTCAAATAGTTTCATCAAATCATGTCAAATATCACTATCAAGTGTGCCACGTATAAATCATAGTGCACACCTTATTTTTATGAAGTATCAATAGTATAGATTGTGTGATGTTACTCTCTTGGGAGTGAGAGAACAATGGAATTTTTGCCATCATCTGCATTATATATAAGGAAAAAGGGAAAATGCTGTGATAAGATCATCCAACATGGCGCCATGACATAGATTGCATACGAAGAAAACATAAACAGCAAGAAGAGCAAATTTACTGCTACGGGAGGTGCTGTGACATATTCTTGACGTGAAACCATTTTCTTTAGATTTATTAAACAATGTTGCACGCCCTCGTCGGCTGATGCCAACAATGACACTGATAAAATATTCTTTTGTATTATAGCACTAACATGGCTGAATTGCAAGTCAAGAATATTGTATATTACTCAGACTAGTTACCATGCATAGGAGGATTTAAATTTTGAGAGGCATTTATGATAGTTTTATAGAATAGATCAAGTATAAGGGACAAAAGGAAAATGTTTCATCGGTTTATATGGGAGCATGCACAAACAAAAAAGATACGCATATGTGCTAGTTGTAGACGTTTTGTACATATCAAAAATCATTAATGTCAGTGGTAGATGTAAAAATCAGTAAAACGTCTCAAAATGGTGAAGAAATCAATTAAGGTAAGGATAGTTTAATCAGTGTGAATATGTTTCAAACATGAATTCGTGATTTCTCTATACTCTATATGTCCACATACGTAGATAAAACTGCAACTTAGTAAATTGTACACCTTAAGCCTGATAACACATGTCGAAACGTTTAAACTAAATAATGCTTACTTCATTGATATTGTAAATATGTGGGGAACCCCCGAAAATTCTCTTCCGCTAAATTATATAAAACGTTCGCAACATAAAACTTTGTGCAAATGTTAAAGGACGCAGTAGAGTCAACGCATACAGTTTTTGATGTATCAAAAAAATAAATGGGATTTGAGATGGTAAAGATATAAATGGTGAGCAAAAAATGATTTAAACAAGTGCGTATTGCAGCATGTGAAAGTAAGGATGGCTTCAGAACTTATCCTTTTGTTTTAATCTAATGAAAACGGGCTGCAGTCTTTAGTGGTAAAATATCATTTTACTAGAACGGCTGCTCCTGAAAATTCTGATGGTTTTTTAAGAGAAAATGCGTTTTATATATAAATTATGGTGTTTTCATAAATAGCAATCGAGTAATTCTGCTGATGTGCAAAATCTTAATATAATTTCCGCTTGGACAATTCGTTTTTACCTGTAGTCATAAATTTGTTAAGGTTATTTTCACATTGGTAAAGGAAGAAGTCATTAAATTTCGTTTAATTTAGATAAAAATAAACGAGACAATGAGCAAAAATTTCTTTATGATTTTACAAATAGTGCAAGATCGATTAGTGTGCCTGCTTTAATTCATGTACAGCGGATGTTTACATTTTTAGCGGGGATTTCCCAGCTTTGTACAAGTTTGACAGCCCGATATTGGTCTTAAATTTTCTGAGCTTCAACTTTCTGATGAAACCCAGACGTGAATTATTGTTTGTTGTTGAAGACAGCTCAAACATAAAGAGTTTGAAATGTTTCCGAACAAATTTTTAATTATATAATGTGTATTACGTTGCTTGTTATTTTACCTAACCGTTCAATACAGTTTCAAAATATTGTAAAATTTAGTTTGGGACCTTGGAAAATGCGATTGCGTCTACTAAATAGAGGTGACTGTGCAATAAAGATCCCATACATACTATTTATATTATGTGGTATTGGACAATGCCACATAATCTCTTAACATGTGTAACCTCGTAAGGTTCGACTACAGTTACTAGTGATAATGATTGTAATGATTTATTCATAACTGCAGTGTAAAGATATTTGACGTTGTTCAAGATGCCTGGTATAAAGATCCGTAATAAAAACCTACAAAAAATTGACGCAAGACTTATATGTACTTACTGTCACTTGCTTCTTGTCAATCCAATGCAAACAATGTGTGGACATTTGTTTTGTAAATCTTGTATCGATATTGTTCTTGGGTAAGGAAACTTTTTTCTAAATGATAAGCAAGAGTTGTATTTTGTTAGAAACTGTTGCGTTCCTTGGAATAGGAACAACAACTTATTTAATTGTTGAAGTTAACTAAAAAACGTGTTTAAGTGACACATAAGAGTTCATCGAAACACAGGACATGAGACACGGGCGACGACATTGACAAACTCGTATAAGTAACACAATTTTGCGTCACATATCTCTATGTGGAGCATTTATCCTGATGTGTTGGCACATATCCCTATGTAGTGTCACATATCCCGATGTGGTGTCATATATCTCTATGTAGCGTCACATATCCCTATGTAAGACATTTATCCTGATGTTGTGTCACATATCACTATGTGGAACATTTATCCTGATGTGGTGTCACATACCCCCATCGGTATCGCATACCCTGATTCATATTCATTGTATTTTCAAAGTTTTTTATTCATTCAATCCGTAGATCTCCAGATCCAAAATGTCCAGAAGATGAAGAAAAATTAATAAAAACTGACGTAAGTGAAAAAATATTCCAATAAAATTTTGGCAAGAAATTTCATTTAGCACTTATATTTCAAATTCATTGTTATTTTGCAAGGTTTTGCACAAAAACTTTACTGGGCTTTGTTTCTTTACTCACAAAACACATTTTAAATATTTTAATATATTACTAATATATGTTTATGACTTGACGAATTTCTATGAAACCTATCTAGGTTTTCCCGGACAATTTTGCAAAGCGTGAGTTGAAAAGTATTCGTTTATTTTGTCCCTCTGAACAGTGCAAATGGTTTGGTGCCTACGATGAATTGGAAGTGAGTTTGGACTGCGAAAATTATTATAAAAGTATCCCTTTGGTCCTCATAATGTTTCTTCTTCAGGGTCATTCTCAAGTTTGTGAGCATGCGCTCATCAGCTGTATACACAAACAATGTAACGTTCAGTTACCTCGCTCTCTTCTTGATGAACATTTGAAGAATGATTGTGAATATCGAAATGTGAAATGTGAATATTGTGGTAAAGATGTTCCGTATGGCTCACTTAAGGTATTTGGAATAATTTAAAAGAACACAGTGAAATGTGATGAATAGCCTAACCAATGGCTCTAAGTAAATAGCAATAACCAAAGCAGAAAATTTCAACCTTATTTTTACAGAAATTAAGAACCAGCTTATTAATTAAGACATTTACTAAATATCTGGATTCAGGATACATGAAGTTCTGATACTCGAACATCATTCTCTCTAAGTAGATGGAGCCAACTCTCTTCAACACTTTGCAAAAAAATTGAGCTGCTCACCAACACTTGATGGACAAACTTTTTTGTCCGCCGTTCTAGTCTTAGCCTATCAGATGGGTTAACCCTTCTTTACTATCGTTCAAGAAATTCAACATCTAAATGCTGTTGATTTGTATTGTCTTTTAACATATAGGACCACATAGATAATATATGTGAATATGCTCCTGTGGTTTGCGGATATTGCAATCAAAAGATACCAAGGAACAATATAGAAAAACACGAAAGTACGATTTGTGATGAAGTGCCTACTAAATGTGAATTTCAAGCCATTGGATGTAACCATGATAAAGTAAGAATGTTTAGACTTGCAATTTCATTTCGGCAACAACACAAAGTAGTTACGACAATCTTTAACTACAGGAAGCTATGAATATTTTTATTCAAATATTCGAAGCAAAATTTTGCGAGAAAAGCATAAAAATTGTATTGTTATGATTTATTAATGCTACACAAAGTTTTTAATACATTTTTGTTAAATGTCCGGTAATTAACAGCTAATCATTACATATATCCTGTGGAAAGTCAACTTTGCTTCAGGTATGCTGCATAGGATGACCAATAATCTGACGCAAGCCTTCAGCCTTTGTTGAAAGAGAACTTGCAAGCCTCATAGAGAATTTCAGAAGCTCTAGGATGAGGCTGAAAAGTCGGATATACAACTTATAAGAAGAAAACAACAACCACAAGCAGCCCAAGCTTGGAGATTTTATCGTCGAGGTTAACATTCAAGAAGTGACTGGAAAGAGATTTACAATATGTAAATTGCTGGATGTCAACGAGATGGCCGAAAGGAGCTGCTGCTTTGTCTCCTTTGTCAACTGAAATTCGTGAAGAAAAATTTTCTTGTGGCTCTTGCAAAGTTATTCAATTGCAACAACACCAGACTCCTCTCTGATGTGCTCACGTTCAAGCATTTGTTTAATACAAAAAGGAGCAAGAATACTTTAAATGTCTTCTGCAATTACAAAGCCGTTTGGGAAATTAAAAGAAGTCTTTCTTGAGCTTCAGTGTTTTGCGTTGTTTGCCTGAACTTTGCCCGTTTCATGAGCTAAATTTAAATGCAATTTCAGCACAACGAGTCTTATGGAAGAATAATCTTTGTTTGGTCAGTGATTAAACAAACGTGTCTAGACAGCCTGATAATGTTACGAACTCAGCATAATAGAGAGAGCAATCTGGACTTGGACATGGTGGTGAACACTTTTTAAAAAATTAGTTTTCCCTTTGTGTAGAATTGCTCTCTAAGCATCAACCAAAGAATGACTCCATGAAGTATTATCAGGAACGGATTAAGGGAAGGGCGTTATGGACGTTGGTCAGGGGACCCACGTTTCAAAACCAGTACAAAAACTGAAACACGGATAAAATTATTTTAGTTTTTAAGTAAAACTTCAAAATACAGACGAAACGTCGAGTGCTTTCATTACATGCCACAATGATGCATTATTACATAGTATGAATGGGATCAAATTTTATGTTTGTTAGTCATCGTAAGAAACGTTTGGCTCATCATTGTAAGAAAACCCTTGTAGAAAAACAACCTTTGTGTAAAACACTTCAGCTAAGCATTTTTAGTAAATACGACATGAGTTATTGCACATATTTTTTTCTTTATAAAAGAAAAAGGATTATTCTTTTTAATAGTTTTCGAGGACAAAATATGTCAGTTGGATCGGGGGTAGCTTTTGGACCACCTAGGGCCCCGTGAAAACTTGATCCGCCCTTAGAGTGTTATGTTACTCATTTCCCATCAATGTTTCCCGTAACACTCTTAAAATAACTGCCACCATTATTATTCGTCACTGTAAGGTGGTTAATAGCTTTGTTATCCCAAAAAACAACAAAGTTTCTTATACTAGATTGTTATACCATGCATGAGCATAATTGATTCAGCTATAAAGACATGCACATTATTATTTCCCAAGCAAACTATGTTCCACGAATTCTCAACCTGTGATTTATAATGAGATATTTAAATTTCATTATAAAAGATTTTCATTGGCAATTCAATTTTCAGGTACCAACTTTTGGTTGTGGTCACAATAACCAAAGTTTAGCATCCAATCGGACTCTTTAGTCCCTCTGCCTTGGAATTTATATCAAAACCCTTAAAATATAAGAGTTTTAACAGAACTATCTGTTTAAAAAAGGTAAATGCCACCATTTTTGCTTTTCTTTCACAGACTTTAAAACGAAAGGACATTCGTCAACATATGAATGGCAATGTAACTGATCATGTTGGCGCCTTGCTACGATATGTTATGGCATTTGTTACACAGTTAAGTAACTACGTACCACGTCCAGAGTTTACTACTGCTGTTCAAAACATGGCTGATCAAGTTACTGCTGTTCGTGCAAATCTCTCAGAAAAATTTGTGATGTTAGTGGGTAAACTTACAGGTCTTGAAAGGAGGATTGAAAGTTTAGAGAGTCCTTGTGATAGCAATAATAATAACACCCAGTCTCTAGATGTTTCCTCGATGGTTGAAAGGATAGCGACTCTCGAGCGACAAGTGAGAGAAAATTCTTCAACTATACCACGATTTTGTGAGAGCTTAGATCAAATTGACGAATCACTCGCGAGAAACACGGTGAAGATTACGTACCTTGAAGCGCAATGTGGCTCGCGCGCACTAGGATCAAATCAGCTTATACACAGCTACAATGGCACATTACTTTGGATAATAGATAACTTCAAGAAAAAGAGACAGGACGCCATTAATGGTATCAAAACATCCTTGTACAGTGCACCATTCTACAGTTCTCAATATGGTTACAAGATGTGTGCTAAGATCTATATGAATGGTGATGGTTTTGGAAAAGGAACTCATTTATCTTTGTTCTTTGTTGTCATGAAAGGTAAAATCGTTTTTAGGTTTACTTTTAATTTTTAATGCTTTAAAATTGGCATGTGTATATGTTGCAAGCTTTGTGAGAACAATTTCTCAGCCTGATTCAATCAAGGTATAGATTTTGCTTTTATCGCGTGAAATGTTAACTCATTTATTTGGATGAGTCATTAAGTTCTTAAATTGATACTATGTTTGCAATCATCAAGAAATTTAACAAAGTCATTTCAATCAATTAATAATTTTAGCAATCAATGGAATTTATTGAAAGAATATTTTTTTATGTTAATATAGCTGCTTATTTATGAATGTCAGTTATTTTGTTATTATAACTGAAAACGGTGCCCAATTGCTTAAAGTCGAGATATAGTATAAAGTCAGGATAATGGCAGATTTTTTATACCTTTAATATTGCTATTGTGATCATTATCGTATAAATTGCCTCTGTTTGACTTTCACAAATATTAGGGGAATCCCTGTGCATGGCAATAAGTATTCCCCTTGTAGCTCTGTGTGGAAAGAGCATAATGCATACATTTACCAAGAACTTGTGAGCTTAATGTTCCTGTTTTGCTTTCTATACAAAGTTGTTTTATTTATAGAGGATATTTTGAGTTAAAAGGCTGCTTAATCATTGCGTCAGATATCGCTTTTTTCTGATTTAAGACATACACCTGCTAAGAATAACAAATTTTCCTTGAAATTGTTAAAACATATGTTCCTGTGATGTTTCTGTTTCACTTTTTAAATAAACTTGTCAACATGAATGTGTGGATGTCTTGTGACTTAAAGATTTAGGAAACAGAGAATGTAGTTAGATGTTACGGTTGTGATTTAGCAGTGGCGGATACCCTGTTAAGCAAAATAAATTACACCAGCTCATGCAATAACTAAATTTTTTTCTTTGTAAGTTCATAACCAGTGGCATTGTTATAAAGATAGCTTATTAAAAGATTAGCAGCTATAACTTATTTTGCCTAACACTTGATTTGCTACTGCCTCAGTTTGAGTGCAACTTACTAAAGCTTGACTGGCGTTAGTCTCTCCATCGTATCAGACGACAATTCTACGTAAGAAATGTAAGAATTTTCCTTTGAGTTCTACTCTCGAGATATCAGTCTTTCAAAATCATCCAAATTATTTAAATACAAACTGCTTTTAAAACCAAAATCTACGTTGTGTATGAAATAACTGCCTTCTTGTGGGCGTACGAATAATTTTAAGCTGCATATGACCGTTAACAAGGTCTGTATCCACGCATGACATACACAAGCCGAATATTTTCCTTTCAATGAAATAAGCTATTGCAAAATGCTCTATCTGTGAGCTTGAAGATATTCAATGACTTTTAAGGACTTTTTATATATATATGTGGGACAGGAGAGCAAAGTTTATAGATGCTAGGTGATGGCGTTTTGTTTATATTCAAAATATATTCAGAGCATATTGCGCACTAAAGAATATACATACGCACCAGCAAAGACACCAGCGAAAACGAATTGATTTAGAAAACGAATTGATTTTCGCACCAGCGAAAACGAATTGATTTAGAATGTGAATAAAGCCATCTTGAACGTATACAGTTTTGGTTTCCTGGGTAGAAAACCTTTGGGTATGAACTCTTGAAAATATGGAGCATGGAAGTATTAACATTTAATTTAGTAAGGAATATTTCTAAATGTTCGGAAATTGCGATGAATTTCAACCCATATTTTATATACTGAACAACATCGACAATTTTATGGTCACACAGCAGCAACAGATCTTGAGGTTTTGGCTGAATGCTATCTTCATTAAAAAGAAACATAACTAAATATTTTACTTCCTAGGTGACTACGATGCGCTACAAACATGGCCATTTAGAAAAAAGATCACAATGATGTTAATGGATCAAGGAAATGGTGATCACATGATTGATGCTTTTCATTCGGATCCCCAAAGTTCTTCATTTCAGCGACCAAAATCTGATATGAATATTGCTTCCGGATCACCTCTCTTTATGCCATTGGAAATGTTAAATAATCGACAATACATTAAAGATGATACATTATTCATTAAGCTCATTATTGACTGAAATGGTTACGATAGCTCAAAGAGTTTAGGTTTTTGATCATATTTAATCTTAATTCTTAGCTAGACCTCAATTTACATTCAATTAATTTTTTAAAATTTAAAATCCAACTTTTAACTTTTAGGTAGAATGATTTTTAATTTACTTGTTTAGAAATCAATTTCGTGTTTTTATTTGATTAAGATCAACGATAATCGGAATTTGAAGAACATTATATGTATAGACGGTATAAAATTATAGTGGGACAACTATTTTTAGATCGTAAAGACCTGGCCAATAAGTAAGTTTATAATTAGAGAAAGTTTGTTGAATTCCCACAGGCTAACTAAAAAAATACTCACCAATTCATGTTGTGCAACTTCAATTTATTACATAATGTTGAGTTACGCTAGGAATATGCTTAGCTATTTCTTGTTACTTTTTATCAGAATTGTTAATTAAGCTGAAAACTTTTATTTCATTTGATACTTTTTAACTTATTGATGTTAATAATAATTAAATAAACTTTCTTATCATAAACCATTGAACTAAATAGATGGAAGGTTACGTCAGTCGATATTTTGAAGCCTGTAGTTCCCAGTCTTTCCTCGCATTTTTAAACACACGGCCGATAGACAAAAGCGTAAAATAACTTGTACAAACTACGAATACATAAAATCTTTTTTCGCTTAATTTGGCAAACAAAACTTTCACAAATGAGGCTTAACACCAAGTATACACAGCTTTTTGACAAATACATTTTTGTAAAGGAGGCCATAGCCAACCATAACTAGAAGGTATTTTGCTGTTATTGTTTGTTTGGTATGTCTGCAGCGAATGTGCCAAAAACTAAAGCGCTTTTGTTCCAAAGTAGCACAAAAGTTTTGTAAATGTATTTCACCTAAAACAATCATTATTAATGTTTTTCCGTGGACGTAAAAATTTATAGAAAGACACAATTTTATTTCAAATTGTAGCGAGAGACTTGCCGAGCGGAAATCGAATACGTGTGATAAAAATCAATGCCCAACATAAAGTTCTGATTAGAGCCATAGAAATAGACCAAAAAAAAACAAATTGTGAAATTTAAATTTATTGTGACGTTTCGTCTTTACTCAAGACATCTTCAGACAAATAATAAATAGGATGTTAAGACAAGATATTATATTTACAAAAAGGTGTTAAATTACTACTAAAGGAAGCGGTGTCGAATGGATACATGATAAGGAAGTTTAGAAGTGAAATGAAGAGAAATTAAAAGAGGTTAAGTGGAATGGAGTTTCCTTGCTCATTAAGTGAAGGCTTGTGTTTATTGATTAGAAGGCTTTCATGGATGGAGAGTTCATAAGTATCGTTGGAAGAGGAGATTATTTTAAAGTCGTCTAAGTTGGGGGTGTGTCCAGTTACGTTAATGTGAGCAAGAATGCTTGATGATGCAGGGTGGGAAACTTGGTTGCCTATAAGGGGGGATATTCCCAAGTGCTCCAAAAATCTGGTGTGTAGATGACGTGTGGTTTGACCCACATACGAAGCGTTGCAGCTTCGACACTTCAAACTTACATGAGAGTTGGTTTTAAAGATAAATTAGATAAGACATACAAATACTCGTTACATCTTCCCAAAAAAAAGGCTTCTGTAAATATGTGTACGTACAAATGATTCATGCAAAAACATGTATATTATTGAATAAATCCAGTTGAATCCTTTAAAATAAACAAGTACTTGCTGCAATGTTTTAGAGAACTACCGAATAATATCGCTCACCTACCATGGCTGGTGCCCACAATAGCATTAATAAAATATTCTTTTATATTTGACTACCAACATGGCTGCCACGACGTTACAAGGAATCCACCTAAAGTTGCCTCCCAACTTATCAGTTTGGCGCCATACCTGACTATGTGCCACGTCTGCTTATATGAACAATCAAAATTTACCTCTATAATGGAGACAAGGAAGAATGATATTATCACTTTATCAGCGAGTTGATTAAAGACATAATCCTTTTGACAGCAGAGCAAAGGATTAGTCAACTTAATCAATACAGAATCCTAGACGCGTAGCTGGAATAATGAGCAATATTTCCTAACTCAAAAATTGCCATCTGAGTAAGAATCAGCACATTGAGTGTTGATTAAAAAGATTTTCGTCAATTCCTGAGTCTCAAGAAATTAAATTATTGTTCATACAATCACCTAGAGTAGAGATTCTAGAAAGTAAAACTATCTTGACGCAGTCTTTGAACAACTCACTATCAAAGTGTGAAGAGAAATAGATTTATCACTAATACATAAGCTATATACATCATGGATCAAAGTTAAGATTTAGATTTATATTACGAGCAAATGATGTATAATAGCGTGGGATTTTTAGATGAATGTGAAGGCATTATCATCATCTTTGTCTTTATTCTTTCACAGACTTTAGAAGGAGGAGAGATCAGATAACATATGAATGACAATCTAATTGATCATGTGAGCCTCTTGTTACGATATGTTATGACATTTGTTACACAGATAAGTAACTACGTACCACGTACACAGTTTACTACTAGGCTGTGTAATAAACTGTGGACGTGTTCAAAATAAGGCTGTTCAAGTTACTGCTGTTTGTGCTAATCTTTCAGAAAAGTTTGTGATGTTAGTGGGTAAACTTACAGGTCTTGAAAGGAGAATTGGGAATCATGAGAATCGGGGTGGTAGCATTGATAATAACACTGAGGTTTCCATGATGCACGAAAGAATTGCTATCCTCTAGCGACAAGTGAAAGATAATTCCTCAACTATTCTACGATTTCGCGAGCGTTTTGATCAAATTGGTCATTCACTGTCGAGAGACACGGTGAGAATTACGGATCTCAAAGCGCAACGTGGTGTGCGTACACAAGGGTCAAATAAAGCCATACACAGCTACAATAGTGTAAATGTTGATCCAAAATTGAGACATCGTTTCTTTTCTGTACAACGGTTTTGCGAGCGATTTAATCAAACCGAAACATCACTTCAGCGAAACACGATGAGAATTGCAGATCTAGAGGCGCAGAGTGGTGCTCGTGCACTGGGGTCAAATTAAGCCATACACAGTTACAATGGTACGTTACTTTGGAAAATAGATAACTTCAGCAAGAAAAGACAGGACGCCATTAATGGTATCAAAACAGCCTTGTATAGTCCACCATTCTATAGTTCTCAATATGGTTACAAGATGTGTGCTAAGATCTATATGAATGGTGATGGTTTTGGAAAAGGAACTCATTTATCCTTGTTTTTTGTTGTCATGAAAGGTAACTACAATCGTAAATTTTTTTCTTTGAGAATAACAATTAAATGATTATATGAAATAAATGGTATTTTTAAGAGTTATGTTATTTAGAGAATTTTTTTTCCTTATTGGTTTATTTGTTTTGATGGTTTTGTCGAGTGTATTGAAGTGGAATCATGAATAATTTTTGAAGATTCTACAAAGAAAACTTAATTGAAAACATGTTATATTTAAGTTATTTTTTCTAGGTGATTACGATGCTCTACAAACATAGCCATTTCAAAAAAAGATCACAATGATGTTAATGGATCAAGGAAATGGTGTCACATGATTGATGCTTTTCATTCAGATCATCACAGTTCTTTATTTCAAAGACTAAAGTCAGATATGAATATCGCTTCTGGATCACCACTCTTCATGCCATTGGAGAGTTTATAAAATCGTCAGTATATTAAAGATGATACTCTGTTTATTAAGCTCATCGTTGACTAAACAGGTCGGAAATTTGAAGCTTGTTACCGCTAAGACTGTATTAAGTGGGCACCTGGTGGAACAGATTAATGTCCACTTAATAGAGTTCGCTTGATAGAGGTCTTATTTTTACAAATTACCTATACATGAGATTAAATTTGGGACTTTACAGAGTGCAACTTAATACATGTTTGACTGTAATTGTGATGGAAGTTTTGCAAGAGATCAAAATTCTGACATGCATAATACCACGCACATGAAGTATACTTATTTGAATTTGATGTGAGAGTTTTTTCCCATTTACCAGCTGTTACATAGTGTTAACAGACTTAATTTATTCAAAGGAAATTTTAAGTTAATTACAAACGCCTCTCTACTTGATGATTGAACATGCACTTATTCAGGGGCGGAGCATCCAGTAGGCTAAGAAGGCTTAAGCCTACAGGCCCGGGCTTCCGAGAGGCCCGTTGTATCTAGACATTATTAGGATTTGGAAGTTTTTGCTATTCTGGGCTAGCTAAATGTGTATAACTTAGATCATTTATGCTTTTGAAAACCTTACGAGCAGTTGAATGCAGAGTAAAAATGGCTTTAGAGCTATCTACTGTTCAAATGGGCGATGCTCAGAATGCGCCATGCTCATCAATGTCCATGTCAATGATTTGGAAATTTCGTTAGAACTTTTGAATGAAATTTTCCACATTTTTCACCATGCTGAGTTACAAACATAAAACGCAATAGCAAAGAAAACTGGACTTAAAGGTCCAGAACTTTGTCTTAGCGTATACAGGCCCCGTAGTTAATAATCTGCTATTGCTGACTCATTATTGTCTAGCGTGTGCAATATAAATGTTGGGGGGTAAAAATTACCCTTAAAGTTAGCAGTGTGTTGAGTGATGTTAAAGCGAATTGTTTGAAAACGTGCTTAACATGGCTCAACATTTTAAGCCTTAAAATGATAAACGTCAGATCACGAAGTAAAATATTCCATTACACCTTACAACTGTGTCCGTACAATTTATTACTTGGCTCAGCGATTTGCTGAAATTTCAATTTCTATCTTTTCTGAGACCATATTCACAAAAGTAGAAGCAGCACAGCGCACATGTTTCAGATCAAAATTGTTGAGTGTGCTGTTCAAACGCACAAAATAATGCTGAGCTATGCTCTGGTGACTACACGACAAAGAAAATGTTCACAGTTGTTGAGTGAAAAGTTTGAGGAGATTTAAATTTCTCTCAACAGCACTCAACACCGTTTAATGCCACTCAACACTTCTCAGAAGGGTGTGCAAATGCTCTGAACATGTTGAGTCTAGAAAGTTTCCTGCATGTTCAGTCAGCATGTTGAGAGCAATTTCACGTATTTATTTTGTCCTGTGAAGACACATTTAAATGAATTTAATGGGGTATTTTAATGGGCTATTTTCTTTTGAGTGGTTTGGGTTGTTATCATGGATGGTTTAGAGTGCATTGTTTTTTTCAGTAAAGTGCTGTGCTAAAGGATGTAACCTGAATTGCAATATCTTCCTCAAACCTTAGTTAACTGTGCATTCACAATGAAATATTGCAATATATTTCTTCAGTTTTGCTTTATTTGACAACGGATCTTTCAAAATTTTTCAGCGTTACAAATCAAAGGTTTTCTATTGTTCACGTTTTCATAAAACTACTGCTTTAGACTGCTTTAGAAAATATACAAAATGCCTGAAAAAAATTTTTTTTTCTATATTTTAGCCAACGTTGTCCTAGGTCAGTATGTCCTTTTTCACTTTTGCTTTGATGCGCACGTTTGTTGACGTTTATGGTCGTGAAACATTTGGTTGACTTGAAATTTGATACAACGCTCATTTGGGTGAGCTCATTGACTAATAGTTTAACTGAATTAATTCTGTTGTGCTGTTATAAGTGATAATATATATTTAATAGATTTATACTTCAGGTAAAATATAATATTTCAGCTGTGCAGATGTTTACACGACGGTTTCATAAAATTTTGTTACCCGTCAAGCAACGGTGCAACGGTTATAACACTTGATTTTCACCTCCTCACGGGGAGTATATTGCTCTCTGCAAGCTTTACAGCCAGTTCATCATGCATGTGCCAAAATGTTTTCCATAGAAAATCGTAGACAATTGATAATTTTCTATATATCAATGTACTTATGAAAGAACCAAAAGTTGTTTGAATAAAAAATTAAAAGGAGATCAATTATTCCTTTGCTTTGTTAATAGCAATATACTCTTTCACTTTCATAAACAAAACTGGCTTTTTCTTTAGCCATGTGTTTCACATCCGTGCTGCCACTCTGTGTATGCACATTTCACCCACCAAAATTTATTTTCCACCTACTTCCCACTACGACTATTTTCCTTCTTTTCTCCTTTATTTCCCCTATACAACAACATACCTCCCTATTATATACCTACATTGGGTCGGACCATTCAATTTTTAATCTGTTTTTAAAAATGAATGCAAAAGTAGATTATATTGAAAACTAAAAACATCTGGACGACCAAAATAGTAATTTGGCATAGGAATTAATGGCATACAAGTGACGCAAATAACACACTGAGTTTATTCTAAATTGCTAATCTTCTACTGCCATGTATGGTCACAAAATGTGCCAAAAGAAAGACTCCTTTACATATAATTACTTCTTAAATGGTGAGAACACAGGAAGAAAAGAATATTTTGGGCAAAAATAGTACTAATTTTTAAAATATTTTCTTTTCCCTAACAATATCCCTGCATTTTACAGTTTTCCCCGTAGGTTTCAGAACTAGGTTTCCCCTACCACCTAAAAACTATTTAATCTCTCTTTATAGGGGATTTCCCGTACGATTGGCAACACTGAACCTGTGTGTGTTTTACTTCCAACATGTGACGAGCGTGGTTTTGCCGTGAGTTCTAGCATAGTTTTTCCCGATGTTTACTGTACTTTTTTCTTTGGTTTTGAAATTATCATGATTTTGCGGTTTTAATGAACTTGGCCTTGCGTCGAATTCTCAACTTTGTTGTGATCCTCGGCGACCTTTTAGAAGGGCATCTTAATTATAATACCCAGTTCTTGGAAACAATACAAAATTACTTAGTATTGCTTGTATTCAATTTCGCAAATTTGGTAATAATGATTACTATGTACTTTCGGTTTCATTTTAATTTTCTCTTCACTTTACCGTTTTTGGATACGGCTTTCGTGATTTCGTGTTGTTGGGGTGCTAGCATTGGGATGTAAATATAAATAGACAAGATTTGCATTCAGACAAGAATATCTTTGAGCGTCGAGAGCAGAAATTCTAAAGATGTACATATGTTTATTGCAGGTGTCATCACGACGAAAGACGCTTTAGAAATTGAATTTAGCTACGATATGGCAGATTAGTAGGAAAAACATACGGTGGATTACATGTAGAAATAGCAATCTTTATATAGCTGCACCATTTATTTATAAATATACGTGTGGACTACAGAGTGAGTGAAAAATCTTGCACATTTCGGCATTTCTTAATACGATTTTTACCGGTGAGACTGGCTTGCGTTTATCTTATCATGTTGCCATTCCATGAACATACAGACTATCGTAATTGTTACAATGCATAACTGTAGAAATGCATGTATGAGTTTGTATTGAATTCGTTAGGACAAATTCAAAAGCAGTATTAGCTAAAAAGTCTTGTAGCTACGTATTTTCATTTCTTTTGAATGAAATGCAATCATAATTTTAATATGATTTTGCACTTAAAAGAATATTAGATTCCGTTAGAAAGTACTTCGCACAATAATCTATAAACGGGCCTTAATGCCTCAAGAAAGTTGCTTGTGCAAGCCTTTCTTGTAACGCCCTCAGATGCTTTCTGTGTGTAGGATATACAGCGGTACCGAGCAAAATTGTTCCTTCTCCCTATCCCTGAAACAGAATTAGGACATGCATGTGGTCACAAATTTGTTATACTTTTATAAAGAACAGCAACTTATTCTTTAGTTTTGCTAGGGCTAATTAGTATTGATTTTTTTTATTCTGTTTTTTGGAAAGAATCGACGTCATTGAAGATGCCAGGAACAAAGATCCGTGATAAAGACCGGGAAAAAATCAACAAAAAGTTTATATGTACTTACTGTCATCAACTTCTCATCAATCCAATGCAGACTTCGTGTGGACATTTGTTTTGACAATCTTGTATTGACATTATTCTAGAGTAAGATAAATTTTCGTCTAAACCTTAACACGTTGTTTTGACAATCTTGTATTGACATTATTCTAGAGTAAGATAAATTTTCGTCTAAACCTTAACACGTTGTTTTGACAATCTTGTATTGACATTATTCTAGAGTAAGATAAAATTTCGTCTAAACCTTAACACGTTGTTTTGACAATGTGTCACAATGATAAAATAATCGCGAATCTCTATCAAATAAACGACTAGTATCTAATAAAAGCCTTTCTTGAGACGTGAGTTTTTATTACACGCCTCTCTAAGTTATCTTCCTGTCTATAATAGACGCTATATCCAAGGGGCGAAACTAGAATGTAAATTGGGGGGGGGGGAGGGCGAATATTCATATATTCAGCTCTGCTTGAATTATTTGGTTTGTTAGGGTTTATAATTTCAAAAGAAATCAGCAAGGCAGATCTCAATGTATGAATATTCCCTCCTTATTTAACGTTCAAGATTCGCCCCTGTTATTTATTTACCATCCCGAGCGTTTATACGATAGTTCACGGTAGAATTCTTGATCAATTGACAACATTTGACAGGTATTGCTAGAATGTTATAATCACAATATTACGTAATGTAATATCACATATCTCAAAGCAGTGCGTTACCTATGCCTATGTTGTATCGCATATCTTAATGTTGAATCACATATCACAATGTTATATCACATATCCCAATGTTATATCACATATATCTAAATGTTATATCACATATCTCAATGTTGTATCTCATATCTCAATGTTGTACCACATATCTCAATATTATATCTTATATTTCAATGTTGTATCACATATCTCAATGTTGTATCACATATCCGAATGTTGTATCACAAATTGCAATCTGCCATTTATAATTGTGGCTAAATGGTGAAAAAGTTAATTGTCTGTTTACCTAACCTCAAATTCATACTTAGTAAAATAGTTGTAAATTGCATGTGTCTTCAATGTTTAGAGGTCCAAATCCAAAATGTCCCTATGATCAAGAAAAATTAACCAAGAACAAAGTACGTGGAAAGAAAATTTCATACACAAATATTATTAATAGTTTTTTCGGAAAGACTTTAAAAAATAACTTCATTTGGCTAAGTGTAATTGCGTAGAAAATCATTCTTAAATCTGCTTCATCTGCGTGAGTTAATTTACCAACATCCACCAACCGTTGAAATTTTTAAAAACATAGATTTTCCCAGATGCTTTCACAAAACGTGAGTTGAAAATGATTATATTACATTGTCCCTCTGACAAGTGCGAATGGTTTGGTGTCTATGAAAAATTGGAAGTGAGTTGAGCTGAGCAAATTTTTAAAAAAATAGCAGCCTTTTTACTCAAATACTAAATTAAAGTTTTTGTTTCGTCAGGGTCATTCTCAAGATTGTGAGCATGCGCTCATCAGCTGTATACATAAGCAGTGTAACATTCAGTTACCTCGCTCTCTCCTTGGTGAACATTTGAAGAATGATTGTGAATATCGAAATGTGAAATGTGAATATTGTGGTAAAGATGTCCCGTATGCTTTACTTATGGTAAGCAAAATATACGAGAACGGATCATAGGAACTTAACGAGATGAGATGAATCGCCTAATATTTAACAAATAGATAACATTTAACCTTGTCTATACAGTTATAGATACACGAGTATGACGTCAATTGTGATCAAAACTAAAAAAGTGGCCACGAGCAAAAAATTCCCCAAATTGCACCGTCAAACAGTTTGTTTTCTTTGTCTCCCAACACTTAGAACATTGAAAAGTCTTGATTTTGCAAATATCGCGCTAACGTGAATTATAGGTATGAAAAATGCTATAGGCTAGCTTAATCACGTGACAAAATATGATTGGCTAACAAAATAAACAAGCAATGGCTCATCAATTTTGCTGAAATTTTGTTATCGAAGATGAAGTACAAATCAATGTTTGAAAACCGGGTTTTTTACTTTCTTTTTGCTGAAATACGTTCACTGCTTCAACTAGGCATTCTTACCTTTCGTTAATTGCCCATTCAAGGATAAATTCAGGTAAATATTTAAATAAATTCACCGTTCGTTCGCATTTAAACACAAGAAATTTTCTATGACGTCAAATCCGTGTGAATGTCGTCTTATAGATCGTAGCTCTCGACCAA